ATATTCAAGATGCATTTGAAGAGTTTGTTGGCTCCCGTACAACTGACTTGTTCAAGAAGAGCATTGAAAAATACCACTGCGCTGGCTGAGACACATCGATAGCGTGGGTAAATATTTGGAATTAAAGAAAAAAAAAGTATAAAAAATGACTTTAACTTACTGTATACTAAATGCAATTTCACAAGTAAACACCTAACATTGTAGAGCTTTTATTCAAATTCAATAATTTTAGACACTTATTACACAAAGTGCTCTTTTTTTTTCGACCCGGCTGAAACTTCTACGATGTCCCCGCGCCTAGGGGGCGCGCGGGGTATGTGGGACTTGACGATCTGCAGGTGTTGGGAGCAGACTTTAGTCCAAAGATTTTTAGGGCGAAACCGCCCTAAACGACTCCACTGCACTCTTACACCCGACGTCCAATCTCCGTCCGGGGTCAGAACCCGGTCAGAGTAGGGAGTTCCCGCGGTCAACACTAAAACCAGACACGCGACGCCACCCCGAGGACGCCTGACTGACCGACTGACAGGTCGTCGACGACCAATGACGCCGGTCTCCGCGGACGCAAAATGCTGCTACCATAGAAGTTATAAACAAAGTGAAGTTTCTATAATTAAGTTTTGTTGCAGATTGTAGCGATTGATAATATCACTAAGACAACGTTTAATCACCTCGAAAGACATTCTGATCGACGAACAATTCGGATTCGGCGCAAAACACTTGTACATTCGGGCTAAACAGATGTAGGCCCGTCCCCACAGAAGCTCTCTTCATGTATATCGCGAAGGCATCCGACAAAGTCTATCACAAGGGCTTAATTTATAAACTGTACACCATGAGAGTTCCAGAAAGATTCGTGCTCATCATACGATACTACTTGTCGAACCGTTCGTTTCGGTATTGGGTCGAGGGAATTTACTCTCTCCCGCGGCAAATCTCGGCCAGTGTTCCGCAGGCCGCAAGGCTCCGCTCTGTCCCCGTTTTTAACCTATATATTAACAATATACTCCGGTCGCCGGCGATCTAGTTAGACCTTTTCGCTGATGATACGGTTATATATTACTCCAGTAGGAACATTTGTTTCATGCATAAACTTCACATCGTATCCTCCATCAATTTAGGACAGTGGTTACGGAAGTGGCGCATAGTCATCAACTCCACGAGCCATGTTCTTCAAATGGGTCGCCCTCCTGACACCACTTCTAATAGCTCGTCTCGAATTAGGCGTCGCAACTCCATTCTGTCTTCAAAATCTTTGGACAGCCCGTACCGTGGGCTTTGAAGGCGAAGTATGTAGGCGTCACGACATTAGGTCCCCACATCAAGACAGTACGTGACCGAACCACGCTCCTACTCGTCGACTCTACCCCATGACGGTGCGCTTCTAGAGATCTTTTTTATCACGTACCATCGGGTTTTGGAATGAACTCCCCCGTACGATGTCCCGAGCGCTGTGACATGTCGCCGTCTCCCGAAACTTGTATTGCCGAATCCCCCGGATCCACTCTCACACGTTTTTAGGCTTTTTAAGCATCGGTCACCATCCTTTTTTTTTTTTCGGGAGGAAATCCTCATGGACTACCTCCGCTGGGGAAAGGCGGAGGGGCGTGCTGGACTCCTACCGGCTAAAACCACCCCGGCGTCCACCCACACGTGCGCCCAGTGCCGCGGGAATCCCCCACCAGCCCCACACCAGTGCTGGCCCGGTCTGTCCAGGCCTCGTCTCCTGCACGGGGTAGTGAGGCGTTCAGCTACTCCGTGCATCGCCTCAGAGACACGCGCCGACACCCGCATGCGCCTCCGTCTCAGGTCCATCGAATAGGGGGCGAGGGCTTTCCCAAGTCCCTCGCCCCTGGACCCATTCATGGGGGGCGGAAAAGGGCGTTGTCCGCCCTTCTCCTGCGCCCGGTGCGCCTTCTGCGGCCGGGGAAGGGAGTCGAGATCTCCCTCTCCCGTTCCGCAGTTTCCTACTGCAACATCACGTCCTCGCAGAAGGACACCACGGCGTCCCACGACTCTGCGCTGCCGACCATCCTCCGCACTACGGCCGGCAGCGACAGATCGCTTCCAACTTCATTTGTGAGGACACGGCGCTGCTCCTTCCAAGCTACACACTCGGCGAGCGTGTGTTGCGCCGTGTCCTCCCCGCAGTGGACGCAGTGGTGGCACCGAGCTCCGGCTCCCTGTCTATGCGGCACAGGTACTTGCCGAAGCAACCGTGCCCCGACAGCACCTGTGTCACCCTAAACGACAGGGAGCCGTGCCTTCTCCCGAGCCAGTCGTCTAGTACTGGCCGGATCGCCTCGACGGTTGCGAGGCCGGCGGTAGGGCGCAGAAGCCTTTGCCGCCATTCCGCCAGCAAGGCCAGACGGAGCTCCTCTCGGCGCAGCGCGATCTGCCACTGCACCCGCCTCGAGCCCCGTGCCCGCTCTTCCTCGCGCCATCGATATAATGACGCGAGTACTTTCGCCTCTAGGTCCCAGGGCGGGACGCAAGCCACCTCGTAGGAAATCGTGCGGTACCCGCGGACGACTCTGACGGCCATCACCCTCTGCGGCTTACGCAGAATGGCGAGAGTGCTGGCCGTCATGTCCATCGCCCACACAGGGGCCCCATACAGAGCCATGGACCGCACGATTCCCACGTACAACCGCCTACAGGCGGCGCTCGGGCCCCCCAAATTGGGAAGCAACGTTGAAAGCGCGCCCGCTGCACCCATCAGCTTGGGCACCAGCCGCCAGAAGTGGGGCCCGAATTCCAATCGGCTGTCGAGCACCAATCCCAGATACTTCATGGTGGACTCGACAGCTATCCGGGTCCCACTTACCACGATGTGTGATCCCGGCGCCGGCGCACGTCGGGGGCCATGAAACACCATAGCCTCCGATTTGTTTAGGGCTACCTCCAGGCCCAGGCGCCGGATGTGGTTCACCACCAGTGACACCGCAGCCGTGGCTATCTACGTCGCTTCCCTGTGCGAGCTCCCCCGGGCAGTGACAAGCGTGTCGTCCGCATAACACGTCAAGTTGGCGCCCGACGGGAGCTCGCCTCTCAGCACCCAGTCGTAGCCGATGTTTCACAGGAGCGGTCCCAAGACCGATCCCTGTGGAACACCGTACGACATGAGGTGCCGACCAGTACCGTCACGTCCCCGATAAGTGACGCATGTGCGGCGGAGGTAGGGAGGCACGCGATGGTATTTCAGAGCCTCCCGAATACAACTCCAGGGTAGGGTGTTGAAAGCGTTGGAGATGTCTAAAGACACCGCCAGTACCACCCCACCCCGGGACACCGTCTCCTCCGCCAGGGCCCTCACGGGCACGATAGCGTCTATGGTGGAGCGCCCCCGACGAAAACCAAATTGGTTGTCATCCAGATCGGTCACCATCCTCGTCGAACTCGGCGCAATCGAGCGAACTAATTTATAAACAAAATCAACTGAGTTTTTCGCGGGATCTTCTCAGTGGGTCGCGATTCCGATCTGCTTGTAATTTCTTCGAAGAACTGCTCTTGCTGGACTATTGTTAGTAAATTATCTCGTGCTCCCGTGAGCTCACCTATCCGTCTACGCATAGCTGGAATAGTTCTTAAGCTAACAGCGAATAGATAGTAGGTTTATAAAATAAATAAGGAACAACATTACGGGCTCTAGCTCTTGGTAAAATCGTTACGTAATAATAAAGCGTAAAGCCCCTTTTTTTCCTTATTCTAGTAACCTCGATGGATACTAGATTCTCCGGTTGAGATGTATGCCCATTTCGACGTCCTCCCTTTATATCTCTATCCATCTCTTTTTGTTATATAAGAATTTGTGTTTGCGTGCGAGTATAGAATACCTATTCAAGCAGCCGAATACTGTAGTGGGTTGTATTTTGTATTAACTAAATGTTTTTTTAATTACGGTACCTACATACTAAATTAAATTAGTGTTTTAGCCTCTATGGTTCCTTTTTTTTAAAGGAATTCTGTGACCTGGTAACTAAGACCTTTCAGTCATGTCTTATTTTAATTTAGATTCTTATTTTACGAAAATTGATTTGAAACATTAATCAACTGGGATGAAATGAAATTAGATGAGATGATATGGGATGACATATAATCTCAGTAAAATAGTGGTCATTTACTGAGACTTTTTCAGTGATCTTTTTGGAGGATCCTGAGAAGTTACGTTCAGCGGCTTTGTTTCATTTTCCCACATTTGTGCACTTTTACAAATATCAAACAGTTAATAAACCACCGTTATTACACATTAAACCTGAAGAAACACTAAATAGACAAAATAAAACAAATCAACGGTGGTTTATTATGGTATTTAGTATCTGTGAAAGTGCACAAATGTGGGAAAATGAAACAAAGCCGCTGGACGTAACTTCTCGGGATCCTCCAAAAAGCCTACTGAAAAAATTTCAGTAAATGACCACCATTTTACTGAGATTATATTTCATCCCATATCATCTCTTATCACTTCCCAGTTGATTAATATCTCAAATTAATCATCTTCATTTCATTCCATATTATCATTTTTCATAAAAATAAGAATATAAATTAATATAAGACATGACTTAAAGGTCTTAGTTACCAGGTCATAAAATCCCTCAAAAAAAACCAATTGTCAACACAGAAACTCGCTAACATTTTCAGCACACAAAAAGTTCGTTCTATCTACTTCTTTTTACCCAAAGATTGCTAAAGTTAGAATGAAATAGATATACTTTTGTTAAATTGCAGGAACCTGATAAGGTAATTGTGATTGCTTTGGATATCATCGTCTCTGAAATGCAGTTCGTATTATTTGCAATGTGATANCAAAAAAAAACAATTGTCAACACAGAAACTCGCTAACATTTTCAGCACACAAAAAGTTCGTTCTATCTACTTCTTTTTACCCAAAGATTGCTAAAGTTAGAATGAAATAGATATACTTTTGTTAAATTGCAGGAACCTGATAAGGTAATTGTGATTGCTTTGGATATCATCGTCTCTGAAATGCAGTTCGTATTATTTGCAATGTGATAGGTCCAATATTGTCCAAGTTGAGAAATCTTCTCGTCAAAAATACAAAAGTTCGAGTACCTACATGTGTACGCCTGACGAAGATCGTGTTACATCAGAAGAATTTGAATATTATTTCTATTCATTCTCAAAATCTACTCAAACACCAACTGGAATGGAGTTTTAAATGACAAATCAACTTGCCAAGATGTCGGTGATACTCCTCTATGAATTTGACAAGGAGAAGATGTGTATGTTGGTATAAAACAGAAATTGGACGAGCTTAAAAATTCTTTGAATGTGTAAATAACCTAGGTAGATCTACGTCATGAATAAAGTAGCGGATAACAACGTTCAGAATATAAAGTGTAGTCAAATGAACACGAAAAATAAAAGTAAAAAGACCAAAGATCTTTCTCAAGCTGATGAACTTTGTATAAAGAGTCAAGAACATTTGAATGAGACTTTAGCTAATACTCTACACATTAATAATATCAATAGTAACCTAACCAATGGAACGAGCGACCATTCGAACGGCAGTTCCGAAGTTTTAAGTGAGAAAGGAGATGGACAAGGTGAAACAGTGAACAAGGTCACGAACGATGTAAATAGTGTACAGCATAATGACACATCAAATAATTTTGAAGGCAAAAAGACAACCATGCCTTCAATAAACAGGTGTTTGTTAGATATGGCCTTAGAGAAGCTTGAGATAAACACCAACAATGAAGATCTATTGCCTCGTGATGACGTTGATATTGTCTCTTATGAATCTGAGTTACAAATGCCTGAAATAATGAGACTTATACAGAAGGATTTATCTGAACCATATTCTATATACACCTATAGATATTTTATTCATAATTGGCCTAAACTTTGCTTTCTGGCAAGACATGAAGGGAAGTGTATTGGTGCCATTGTATGTAAGTTAGACATTCATCGAAATGCAGTAAAAAGGGGCTACATTGCAATGTTGGCTGTTGATGAGAAATATAGGAAGCGAAAGATTGGCTCAAGATTAGTGCGGAAAGCAATTCAGGTTTGTAAAATGAAAATTATCGTAAACTTGGCCATATCACTAAATCATATTTACCTAAATATGGCATGTACCAAAGGCTCTACTTCTAGAAGAAAAGTTATTTTAAACAAATATTTTACTTCCCTTAAAATACCTATAGGTAATGTGTAGGATAAGTGTGGTAAATGGAAAACCCATTGTTGGGGGTCAGTGGTAGACAGATACCGGTTTGCATATTTATGGTAAAAGAGGATGTCCTTGTCATATCACAATTCCAAAGAGTATCCTTTGCCACTTTCTTATAGTATTGGGATCCTTGGGGTCAATATTTCGAACAGTGTTCAGCATCAATGTTGGGAATGTAGACAACAACAGAGTGAATTAGTACAGAATGCCTAGACAAAGACCAGTAAAGCTTTAAAAAGTGCATGTCTTGCTTTATGTGGTGCTGTTCCCATCTCTTGTTGAGGACACCAAAATGTTTGCTACTTCCATTTAACTCTATAATAAAGGGGTACCTAATTTGAGTTGTTAAAAATCCTATTCTCATTGATTGTTTGGAAATGTGTATTTTATCATATTATGTTCCAAGGGGAGTGCTCTCAGGAATTGTTTAAGAATTGATTTAGAGACACAACTTAACTTAAAAAATTTGTATATTTTAAATATACATGTTTTTTTTTCAGGCGATGATAAATGACACTGCTGATGAAGTAGTCTTAGAAACAGAAATCACAAACAAACCAGCACTGAAGTTATATGAAAACTTGGGTTTTGTAAGGGATAAACGCCTATTTCGATATTATCTTAATGGTGTTGATGCATTGCGGTTGAAGTTGTGGCTAAGGTGAAATAAGTAGCTAACCGATGAGATTTCTCAATTTTGTGTTTAAATAACTTGCAATATGCAGTATTGAGTATATACATAAAATACTACTGTTTATATTCTTATCTATTGTGCAACATATTGCCATCTATGTGGATCTAGCCAAATGTAGTGTTTATTTGTCATTTTAATTCAAAATCATGTGATACATTGTATGTAATTTATTATATTTTTTTTTCTCAAATACTGTTTAATGATAAAATCTATTGTAACAAAAATAATGAAAACAATCGAAAATTTAAAAACACAAATTGAAAAATTTTTTTAGTCACTAATTTTGTTTATGATTTCCCTCTATTGATGTTATTTTTTTCAAGTTTAAAGATGAATCTTAGATTTCTAAAAAATTCTGTAATAAAACAGATCGATTCAAAACACAATTAAAAAGTTTTAAATGATATCTTTTTTATCTATACCTTATCAACAAGCTTAAAAAACATAGGTACTCCAATTTGAAAATGTATTTTTTTTTGGACTGGGATAGGTAGTAAAACCAATAGAATATTTATTGGTTTTATTTGCTAGTAATAAAATGGTATCCAGCAGCTATAAGAATTTAGAATTCAAATGTTGCCGTATTTGTAGAAGCTCCATCATAAATAAATGTATTATTTACAGGTTTATATTGCTTGGTTATAATTTTAATGGCTTCATGTGCAACACATCCACCTAAAAAGGCAGACACACTATGTATCTCGGCTCCCCCATAGCGACACATTTCGTGGATATGATCATCTTTAGGAAATGGAGAACAAGATATATCACCTAAAAGTTTATTTACACAAGTTTTTAGCTTAGCAATGTCACCTTCTGGTTCCCAATCACCGGGAGCTCGGCAGTGCTCTGATCTAAACATACCAGCTGCCCGAAGCATAATATAGTGAACCATCATAACATCTGGCTCCTCTAAATATGTGGCTATATAGGATGCAACAGAATTTCCCAGTTGAAGTTCTGTTGCCACACAAGACCCCTTCACCAAATATAAATCATGAGCATGTCTGCAGAATAGTTTAACATCTGCCTCACTAATACTATCACAATGCAATTGAGTGACTATCTGTCGAACTTTTCTATAGACTATTTCTGCATCATTTGCAGCTTGCATCTTGTAAATGTTTTGAAGTTTTACATAATGTTCTGTAGAGGCCGTCATATCAGGTAAGATTCCTTTCACTGGAAGTTTTCCCTTCCCTTCAGCCTCAACAAATGCTCTTAAAGCAGAGCACATAATCCAAAATGATGAACTATCCTTAGTTAAATTTGTGGCAGCACTATTATACATAAGTTTTGAGATATTCTTAGGCAAAAATGTAGGCATCAAAGCAGTGTTAACAGCTCTTATTGCTTCCTCAAAATTCTCTTCATTAATTGGTATTCCATTTTCATCTTTTCTAATGAAATCCCTTATTATATTTTTTATATCTTCTTTGTCATTTCGCGTTACAGGCCATTTATTGTTATTGTTAATTTTCCACTTTTGAACAGCTTTATAAAGAATTATAATCCAAGGAATGTGACCATGATCTTTCAAATCAAGAGCATCAATATCAATACTTTCCAGATGTTCTAACAATGACATAAATGGTTCATCTAGGCGCAGATCTGTTTGTTCATTATCAGGATGAGTTTCAGTAACAGCATGTTCCCGAATCTGAATTCTAAAAGACCCTAAGAATCCAACTGATTGGCAAAGTATAAAAGGAACATTTATATCCCACAGGTGTTGAGATAAACTTTGCGTTACTTTTTCACTTATTGTAGTAGCTATCACTAAACTGAATGATTTAAAAAAGTCTGGGTTCTCATCAAGTATCTGGTCGGGTGGTTCTTGGACTGCATGACCTTGTACTGCTGGATTTAATTCTAAAACAAGCCTTAACGCTTCGGATCCTCTGTTAAGACCTTTGCTAGACATTTCCAAAAAGAAATTACTGCCTATATCTTCATCACTAACTGTGCAATCATCAACTATAGTAATTGCACCAATTCCTGGAAGAACTATCGATTTCAATATTTCAGTACCCAAGGCAGTAGCATTAATTAAACATATGTGTCCGCTTTCAAGAGCACTTTGTCCGTGATCACCCCACAAACGAAGTTGCCGGTCGTACTGTTTATTCTTCTCGCTTTGTTCTGGTGATTTAGGAGATGGAGACGCCATAATATAAAACGTCAATAAGCAAAAGGTTTACTTTTGAGATTAAAACCAATTTTTATTATTATGAAATTTATAAATGCAGTGATCAGTTACACAAAATCTAGTCGAAATTGGCTGAATTTGAACGTTAGTTTTGCATAATTTTGGTACATTTCATGGTTGGTTACTGACATGACGAAATGTCAATTGGGCTAGAGTAGGTAAAAGTCGTTTGTATAATGCAAGAAAGAAAGAGGTATCATACCATACAGCCTTATCTTACACATCTTACACAGTCACATTAGAAGCCGAAGTCGTATGATGTGTGATTATCTGAAATTGAGTAAAGTGAAATGACTTAGGTACTAAATTGTTCCACCTATAAGACAAACTTGACGATATAATAAATTAATAAAATTATCTCACTTGCTAGTTTCTATAATGGCTTCCCAACAAAATTAGGTAGCTTTTTTTGCGGCATATTTTGTAGATTCTACCTTGAAATGAATTTAAAATATGCATATAGTTATAATATCTTAATTTTTACCATTTTCACTTTTTTTCTTTTTTTATTGCCTTTGTAGGTAGACGAGCATACGGCCCACCTGATGATAAGTGGTCACCGTCACTCATGGACGTCAGCAATGCCAGGGGCAAAGCCAAGCCACTGCCTACAAACTTTCCAGTTAGACGTCGAATTTTAGGACACCTTGTTTATTATTTTGGTTTTAATTACTTTCATTATTTCTGCCATATTGTACTTGAGCCACGACGACTTCTAACTCTCAATTTTCTTCTTTTTTTTTATTCGTTTTACAGTCACATTTCGTCAAAACAGTCATAATAACCATATTAGTCACCCTTTAGTTACGAACATATTATGTATATTATATATTAAGTCTTATGGCTATGACTTTGGACTACGAAATAGTTTGATGTATGGGTTTGTTCTCTTTGCATGTCTCGGGAACGAAAAAAAAATCTTTTAGTTTGATTATGTATGTTGACAAAAGCTTCAAATTGCAAACGTCAAAACTTCAAGAAGCAAAATTGAAATTAATTCCATTTAATAAAACAAAAGTGTTGTTATTGGATAAAGAAAATTAGGATTTAAACCTTTCAAACCTTGTTTCTTTATGAAATGTTTATAATTATTATAAGCTATACGAATGTGTTTTGAAATGAATTTACAGACATTATTTCAAGACTTTAACCCCAGGTAGTTTTTATGTTGCTCACATAATTAATCGAGTCAAAGTGAAGGTGATTTTCGTTCTATGTTAATTGCACAATTGTTTGTTACAGCAAATTCGTCATTCACACTTGTCTTCTAATATTTACTGCATTATTAGCGCTGAAGTTAGATAAAACCATAACATGGTCATATTGGGCAGTATTTACTCCAATATGGATTTGGAAATTTCTTGTCGTGCTCGGGGCCACTATTGGAACTTATGTGTGGTGGCAGTATCCTCACTTCAGGTAACACTAAATTTCATCCATAAATTTGAAAAAACGCTAAATTAATCAAGGTAAATCAAAGTTTGTCACAAACTTAATCAAGCTAGTTAAGATGATTGTTGACTTTAATGTAATGTATTAAACATATTTGTGCATAGATAAGTACAACCATCCTGTTAATAGTATACTTTTCATTCTCAAGAGTGAGACAATCATTATACAATATAATTAAGACGTTGACACATATTCCAAGGTCTGTCTATAACTCTGTTACTAAGGCAACATCATGTGAGCTAATACATTTAGTGAACCTTGAGTTCAGCGACCCATCAAATGTCATAAAAATAAACTACCAGTAAAATAAATATTATGTCACAATTAATATTACAAATTTTTTTATTAAATTGCAGATTGGAGGGAGAAGCATACATCCATTATAAAGCTATGCTGATAAGTCTTGCCATTCACCTAATATTACTTATGTTTGAGTTACTTGTCTGTGACCAGTTAACTACCAGCCGCCATGTATGGATCCTAGTCTTTATACCTTTAATCTTTATAAGTATAGTTTCCATTGCCATCTGTATATGGTCAGTAAAACATGATCGAAGTTATGAGGTGAGTGTTATTGGTATCTTAATTAAATAAATGACAGGGAACAAATCACACACAATTATCAGGTCCCAAATTTAGATTACACCTGATATGGGACTAGAGATACACTTTAAACACATACATACTTATAGATGTTGAAAAATTCAATTTATAGCAATTAAATATATTATTCTTATGTTGGCTATTTATATTTCTCAAAAGAGCAACTAATAGCTTGTATCCTAAAAATTAATATTAATTATTGTTAAAAGGTAAGAATGTGACACTAGTTTTGTGTCACAAGTGGAGTCCTTGGAGAATATGTCATAATAAAAATACATTATTCAGAAAAATAAAATATTTCTTTTTTTCAATGTTTCAACAATAATTAAAAGTATAAAACTGTTTGAAGGCTTCAAAGAGAGTTCTTATGTTGTCTTCATACATGTATCAACAAAAAAATTTAAGAGACAAAAAATTGTACTAAAAGAATTAGAACACAAATGTACAATAGGCACATTTAATTGTAGAATGTACATTTAAGAAAATAATGATGTTGTATATTTAGATTTCAGAATATTCTGATCCTTTTCAATTAATTGTTTAATTAACTAGGCCATTACATAAATACTCATAATTTCAGAATCTTTCCACATTTTATTTGCCAATTATTTTTTATGTTCATTTTAGTTGGAATTATTTTGTGCAGTGAATATACTTCAGTTTATATTCTTGGCCTTGAAATTGGATAAATTTATACACTGGTCCTGGGAGGTTGTGTTTGTCCCACTATGGATATTAATGTGCCTCAGCCTTGTAGGTGAGTTTATGACCTTAAAGCACTAGAACAGAACCTGTCAACAAATAATCTACAACTCTTTAAATTGCAATTCACAAACGTTGTAAAATTTTCATTACTATAAGAATCAAATAGGCCTAAAAGATTTGCAGCTTGCCGCCATATAAAATAATGTAAAAAAACTTTTAATTACAAGATAAGAACTGGAATTGTTTTATTGTAGGCTGAAAATAATGGTAGTGAATGAAAATAATAAATTCTATCAATCTTACAACTAAACGAATTTTATTAGGTTCATTTTTTATAGGTTGACTCTTGCTGCCGTTATGGGTCCCTCTGGGGCAAGACCTCTTCGGCTCTAGGGTGAATATGCCTATTTATAAAACTAAGAGTATTGATTCATAAACTATTGCAGGCGTTTTATACAGTATCATATTTGCTGGAATTTTACTACGAACTCCCGAAGTTAACGTACAGCAGAGACGCACAAGCTTCAACTCAGCACTTGCCTACACTTTCACTGTGATACCTATCTTGGTATTCCAGGTACTGATTTCATATTTTATTTGGCAACTATTAAAATTAAATAAAAATAAAAAAAACTTTTAAAATAAAACCACAGAAGTCTTCAAAATCCAGAAAAGTTTAATTCGTCAACTTATTTGAGATTTAAGTGGTTGTTCAAGGTTGTTGATATTGATTATTTAAATTGGCTTGACTACTATCTATCATAAATCTACCCAGTCAAACATGATATAGAGTATTGTAATTCCGCTCAGAAACAGCCAACGGTCCTGTTTATACATACTTGAATGTAATATGGGTCTGATGAGGACAGGTTGCAGAATTCTCTTTCTGATACGTTCCTCATTGTTATTATATAATACTGAATTTTTTATTTATTAAACAATGATTAATATTTCTGCTTTGCTTACCAAACTTAAGATATTGTTTTCCATTATTGTCAGGCTAGTTAATATTTTACAACTGTTGTTAGCCTTTTTTTATTGCTTAGAATGATCAACAAACTCACAGCTCACCTTAGTGAATGCCACCACACACTTAGAGATACGAGGTATAAGACTCAAATAGGCAGGTATAAATGAGTATGTGGGGGCTCACTAGATGCTCTACCACTTTTTTTTTGCGTCTGAATGTTATAGCATGATTTCTTCATCGTATCTTTTGAGAGCTTGTGTTAACCACGTATTTTAATACCAAAATTGGTAACTGCCTGCGAAGTTTGGTCACAGGAGTAGCCGCTTCCTGATACTGTCCGATTTATCCTTTAAGGCCACTACGCCTCCCTCCAGAACGATTCCCTTACATACTGTAGATAAATAATCACTATCAGCATTTTTACTTTATTTTTCAGGTTCTATTAACTAACAAGTTAGATGATGGCCTATCATTTACTTATATAGTGATAGTGAGTCCGCTATTCATCAGTTATGCCACACTAATTATTATGTCGTTCAGTTCAAAAGGAGGAAACAAATGTAAGTATGCATTATTTTTATGGCCTTTGTAGGCAGACGACCATACCATGAGTGGTCACGTCGCAATCTCACTTATCTCAAGGGCACAGCTAAGTCTCTGCCTACTGCATCCTAGGTATAATCATTAGCTCGTTATCATTGAAATTCTCAATCATTTAATTTTCCTTTATTCATTTGTTCATATGGTTCGGGAAATCTATACTAATATTACAAAGCTGAAGAGTTTGTTTGTTTGAATGCGCTAATCTCAGGAACTACTGATCCGATTTGAAATTTTCTTTCAGTGTTAGATAGTTCATTTATCGAGGAAGGCTATAGGCTATATAACATCACGCTAAGACCAATGCGAGCGGAGCACCAATAATGTTTCAAATCGGGGTTTTTCTCTTTTGAGAGCTTTCGCTGCGTGCGCTGCAGAAACGGTTAAAGTTTCGCTAAAATAACGTATGACAGAATTGTTCCCCTTTAAAAGATCTAAAAAAAGTCCGCGTCAGCATATGTCTATATGTTAGGTTAGCCAACCGTATAGTGAGCCCTCTGTAACGTTTTTTATGCTATCCAAATTTGTTAAAAAAAGCATGATTTGTGAACTATTTCCACGCGGACCAAGTCGCGGGCAAAAACTACTCATAAAAATATATCTATCTTATTAATACTGACTGACTGTCGGTGCCCACAAAAACTGAAAAATATAATATAAATACTTATAATGTCTGTTTTAATTGTATTTGTGTATTTTAATTATTATAAATTGATTTCAGGGTGGTTTGGTATCCGAAAAGATTTCTGTCAATTCTTGTTATCCGTATTTCCACTGTTGCAAGAATACGCGAATATCGCTTACAACAACAATAACATGAACCGCTCTAACGGGATCCCGAATGAGCTTCCCGCGAACCAGGAGCCTTACAGAGATGAGGAGACCCACAAAAAAGTCAAAGAGAACAAGAGATCGGCTAAGAATCAGAAAAAAAACGAAGCTATGAAACCAGTCGTGCCCATTACCAGCATAGACATGCCGGACTGAATTCCTCATGGTCGCTTGCGGTTCAAAAATCATGTGTTCACGTTGTACGGTACGTAGATATAACTAAACGGGCTTCGGATACCCTTACACAGCAAACCTTATTTATTGTTAAGTTTGTTAATAAGCATTAAGCTTGATACGCTGTTAGGTAAAAGATATTAACTAACATTTACTTTTTATTGTTGTTCGATTTAAGGTATTATTTTATATGTGTATAGATGCGATTTGTTACCTTTTGTAACACTGATTAGTACGCGTACCTACCTTTTATTTTTTTTACAAAGTTGAGCATTTTAGTGTAATGTTGCGTTCAAATCAAATGCAAGTATTTTATAAGTTATTTTCCCAGTATTTTAGTTTAATTAAATACGCGAGCGCGGTTGTGGTTCACGCGTTTCAAATACACACCTATAAAATTATTCTATATGAGTCGACTATTATCAAAGCCGGCAATGTGACTTTTGGACAATTATTGGTAAATCAGAAAAACGAATTATTGACTTTGTATTCCGTTGGCAGTCACAAAACTCTTCTGAACGACATCTTAGATAAATAACAGGTTAAGTGTTAACCTTTATTTAATGCAGGTTTTGAACCGTATTCTTTGAAAGAGACGATTTTATTCAAATCAATCAGTATTGGCATATCAATAAAAAAAAATTGTCCCTATGCACAGATTGCCACCTTTGATAATAGACGACTCATATATTTTTTTGTCTTATAACTATCGACTTATCATATTTTAACATTATGAATTTCTTACTTTAAAATGTTTTCGTTGTTTTCGTCGTGGGTGCTATTAAAAAAGCAATTAATACTGATGATTAAAAAACATCAAGCTTTTTGTGATGTGTAATTTTTTTTCGATTATCGTTTGAAAAAATAAATCATATGAATATTTTTAAAGCAATTGTGTATTTTAGACGTGGTGGTAATTGTTTTGCAATATAAGCGATTAGAATATTTTTATAGGTTAGTTTGAAGTTAATTTGATTGAATTCTAGGCGAAGGAAGCTACTCTGTGGCAACTACGATATTGTATGTAATATAAATTCACGAATAACACTAGTAAATTATGCTTTAGGCAAATATGTAGGTAGATATGTTTCTAACTATAAACAACTTTACAGGTTAAATGTTTTAAAATATGTAACAATACTTGTGTATTATTATTATTATTATTGGTAGTATTTTCTTTGTTTTGCTTTTAATGACGGAATTGAGTATTTTATATATATTTACTAATTATGAAAACGTAATTTTAGTTTTAATTAAAGCTTATACTTATAAATAGAAAATCTGTGTTAGCTCACCGCCAGTTGGCAGCGTTCCCAGAAGGATGGCAGCATTTTATATATTAATTAACTGGATATATTAAGCAGCGTTTAATTTAGTTAATTTGTTTCGCGAAATGTAACATACAACTCACTCGACCAAATTTTTTTAAAGAATATTATATAAATTTATAAACAGATCGCCCAGTTCGTAGAATAATCTCGAATACAGTGTTCCGGATTCGATTCTCATTTGAAGTTCAAGTGCAGCTAGCTCTAGTTTTATATTTGTAAATTTCTCATTCACGCAACGAAAATATTCAATCCATTAAACCTGTATTTTTATTTAATAAATGTCATATTGTCAAACATACATATTATGTAGGTATATAATGGATTAAGTTAGTGTTAATTTATTATACGAAACTCCAAAATTTTCTTAAAATTAATAACAAAAGCGATTACAACTTTGAAACGTATCCCCAAAAACCAACAGGAACTTTTTACGTCCATAGATTAATAATAACAAAATCATAAACGCTACTGTTCTGATAAAATACTGAATTAAACACGCTTTTTTATTAGAGTGTGATCATTGAACAGTTTTGCGTAAGCAGTCTAGAAATAAACAGATTGAAATGTTTCGATATAAGCGTATGAATTGAATTGATTCTTATTTAATCGGGCCATCGCAAATACTGGAAGAAGCTAGCATCAGAACGAAAACCAGAATATTATACCTCCGTGAGCCATAGACAACTCGAAAAACGCCGAAAACTCTTTAATAGTATGTATTTGGAAGAAAAAAAAACATTTTTCAGGCAAACAGGTTTTTTTTCACAATGGCGTCACAGTTTGGCCTTTGTTGCCGCCATATCTGTCAGTTTACGATACATCCAATAATATACATACCATTTTTACAGTCAATCTAATTGATCAATTGATACAGTTTGTCGATACCTTTACTGTTAGGAATAGCTTAATTGAAAATTTCTTGTACAGTTTTCGTAAGCTTCCCTGTACTATGTTTGAAAATAGATCGAGAAAGGCTCACCTCATCGAAACATTCGAGTATTCATCATAGTAGGTACAGCGAAAAACGTTGCGTGATAAATAATAATTCATAATAAACTTCACATATTTCACGTTCGTGACATGCACGTTCTAAGTAACGCTACGAAAAAGCACGCGAATACAAAGTCATGATTTATAATTCGGAGCCTGATACGAGCCGTTTCAACGCTTTATTAGCGTGAAACGTATACTGCGGCAATTATATTGCTGAAAATAACTTCATTTTGAATCCGTTGTGGTAGAAATTAGTCGTGAACATTTTGACACCTTAAATATTTTCGGCTGACAATCAATATATATAAAAATGAATTGCTGTTCGTTAGTCTCGCTAAAACTCGAGAACGGCTCGACCGATTTGGTTAATTTTGGTCTTGAATTATTTATCGAAGTCCAGAGACGGTTTAAAAGGTAGATAAATATGAAAATGCTAAGAATTAAATAAAAATAACAATTTTGTTTTCCCTTTGATGTGTCCCCCGTCGAATGGATTTCTTTTGTTTGTTTTAAGTTTATTTTATACAAAAGTTTAGGTCTTTTATTTATCGACTGAGGCTCTACGAAGTCTGCCGGGTCAGCTAGTTTAAAATAAATTCTGATTTTAGATTCGATTACAAAGCAACTTATTTCACGGGCACATTGTCATTTATTCAACTTGATTCTGCTTAATTCTGTCTCAGAATAAATCTGTCAAGATATCCAGCATCAAACTTATTTTGTTCTCGGTTTTTGTAGGTCGTGTCCTTCATTTCTAAAGGTCGTGCCAAACATGAACGTCTTATTCTAAATTAAATGCCTTCATTTGGTTCGGTTTTCGGCACCCTAAGCCTGAGGTCACAGACAAGCCAGTAATTGTAATTTCTTGGTCATGTCCACTTCTTAGCGATCGGCCGCGAACTCTACTTGTCCTTGAGAAGTAGTTTCACACCATACACTCCATATTGTTAATTTATAGCGTTTAACAATTGCCTTAAATCAATAATGCAAGTATTGTTACTAGTCAAAGAGTATTTTAGACAACCTATTAATAGTAAGGGTTATGTTACTGTGATACTCTTTCTTCCTCTGAAAAATTACCTGATTATTTTGTTAACATTGTATTATTTATATTGTTTCATCCGAATTAAACACGTCGGCTCTATTAATTGTGTTTTATTAATGTATTAATATTGATAAGAACCCCACGAAGTGAACTTGAAATTGTTTAGCTTGCGATTAGCGATTAGCGAGAGGTCAGCGCTACAAACAACAGCTGTTAGCATAATGCGTTTTGTTTAATCAATATCATCGTGTCAACAGACGCCTAAATTCAATACCTAGATATCATCAATCAACACTCCAAATTCTTTATAGATATTATGTTATATGAATAAACGTACATTTTATGTCTATATAATCTATATATATATATAAAAATGATTTGCTGTTCGTTAGTCTCGCTAAAACTCGAGAACAGCGGGACCGATTTGGCTAATTTTAGTCTTGAATTATTAGTGGAAGTCCAGGGAAGGTTTAAAAGGTAGATAAATATGAAAATGCTCGGAAATAAATAAATAAATATTTTTTATATTTCAGTTTTTTTTTTCATGTATTCGGAAATCTAAGCGTAGTTTATAATGATATTGACGTTAAAGTGTATATTGACTATGATAGGTATTTTAATTTTAATAAAATTAGAATTTTATAGCTTAAAATGTGGCCGTAAAAAAAATTAGGACACAAAATCAGTAGGTTCAATCAGCTCTACGGCAGCTACACATTCAAGGTTGAACGCCCATAAAAACTACCGATAGTAATTTGAACTTGTCCTACAAGAATTTAGACACTCCGAAATGCCGAAAAGGCTGGTACGGCCATCGCAATACATTGATTTTTATAAATGCAGCAGTATAGATTTCAGTTCGCACAATGTATCCAGCGAGTTAACACATTTCAACCATATACCTAATTATTTTTTTGGGTTTATATTTCAAAATGATTTCAAATAACTTCATTAGCAAGAAATGGATTAGCGACGAAAGCCCTGAAGAAGAAGACTTGTTCAATCATTGCAGGGAAATTGAAATAGTTTGTTATGCAATCACTAGAGTCATTTTAGATGCCGATTATAAATGGAAAGGATCCATCGAAAGAGACACTGCGCATTCGTTAAGCAACAAAAGCTATATAATGGACTTAGTAAATATACAGGTAAGCGCTTTGTTTACTCAAACAGCTGATATAAATTCTCGCTGTTTCAGTGTGGCCGTGGCAGTGGTAAATTTAATTTCGTATGAATGCAGTTGATTTTTTGTCCCGATTTCCTTACAGGTATTAGATCAAATAATAGAGTATTTATCGAAAATAGTTAAATCATATTATAAATTAAGTCCGAAGTTAGCGAGATTGAATAAAGATAGTGAATTGCTTCGAAACAAGCACGATCTTATTTTTGATAAACTCTGCAGTAGTAGATTTATAATGTTGCAAGCTATTCATGGACTTATAACGACATTACTAAACAACTGCTTGCACCGCGAGGACTCTAGGAAGATAATAGAATCGTGTTTGAAGTAAGTTTATAATATATTTTTTTGTTCCCACGTTTTTACGTATAAAATTGATTACTTTTTCATAGTTCAAATAATATTTATTGCTCTGACTTTGGATTAAGTTACTGATGTTAGATTTTGTATGGTAAATGCTGCCCCATCGATTACGATGAAAAGTTGAACGTACGAACTAGACCATAGACACACCCCATTGAGTTTCTCGTCAGAACCTCTCAGTGGGTCGCGGTTCCGATCCGGCGGTAGATTTATTTTTAATTCACAAATACTTAACTTTTAATCGCACGGTTTGCTATCACCGTTCTCTTTTCTTCTGTGAAACAATGACAGTGGGTTGGTCGCTCAGTTTTATAAGTTGCATGAATTTGAACCTTTTTTTTTTATATTGCTTACATGGATGAACGAGCTCACAGCCCACCTGATGTTAAGTGGTTACTGGGACTCATAGATATATAAGACGTAAATGCGCCACCCACCTTGAGATATAAGTTATAAGGTATCAAGTATAGTTACAACTTGCAAACAAAGATTTACGTTTTTTTTGTGTGTATCCAAGTGTATCTATGCATTCACGTTATGGAGTTTCAGAACCCGTGTTGAAAAGTGCTCAGGGCCTTTCGAGTGTTAAGTAGTTACTGGAGCTCAGATACACCTTAATGACTGAGGCATAGGGTCGAAGTCTCGATTGTTTGTTAACCAGACCGCGTGTTTGTTTCGCTGCAGAAATAGTCAGGACGGTGGTGGTAACTACACATACGGACCAATACGCCCTGTCACCAGTAACTATCGCTTGGCGTCGCAGTCCGCTTGTATAATACTCAGTAAACGCTGTTGCCCATTCCAAGATGAATCTCTAAGTCGCCTTTTACAACTGTGCAAAAAAAATGCAGCCTTATACTGATTTATTTCTTTATCTCCTATCACGCTAATTAGCTGGTAATTCATGGATAAACGTCGTTCATTTAATTCGTATCTCGTATCCGTCATTTACATGATCGACATATTTATTATACTTATTTTTAATTTCACGAACATAGCAGATTTGAACCGAGAAAATCTAATGAATTTATTATAATACGTACTTTCAGTTTAGTCACAGTCTACAATCATCTTCTGGGCATAAGTTACAAAAAATTCAAAGCGAAATTCAATATATGCAGTAACACGTATCCAAATACTATTAGTGAAACAAAACCAATTACTTTGACCAAAATTGTACAGGTACGTACTTAATTTTTTTTCTATAAAATAAATTTTATTGTTATGTAATTCGTGCTTTGGCTATTAATACTCAAAGTTACTAAATGGAATTAGTGAATTAGCTAGAAAAATAACTAGCCGACGTCATTGCAATCAACGGACGTCTTCTGAGTGGGTTGCGATTCCGATCCGGTGGTAGATTCAGCGAAGCACTACTCTTGAGACTTGAGCAGATACTAGCAAAGTTTCCCAGGCTGAGTCCCGTAAGCTCGCCTGCAAGTTTGCTGAAGCTATTAGAACGTTTGTATTGTATAACGACTGTCTCATCCTACAAACTGGGACTTATAACTATTTCTAGCAACAATAGGCAGATAGCATCTCCCCATAAAGGCTTACTACCAACGAAATCGATATTTTTCAATTAACGATTACTAATTAAAATTCAAATCGGGTTTGACTAATTAAAAACAATTGTTACAGGTCTTGTCGAAGAGTCGTGTAGAAATAAATTGTCAACGACTTATAAATTGCTTAGTTAAGGCTTATAAGCCGCAAGAAGATTCCGATAACGACTCTAGTTCCAGTTCAGTGGACAGTTTAGAAATTTATCAGTAAGTACAAATGAAATTTCGCATTTAAAAAAAACTTGTCTATATAGTAATGCTTATAATTAATATACTGTATAATCTAATGTACAGAAGTATAGAATTGCTCTATTAACTAGCTGATTAGTTAAAACCCTTCAGAAAGTAATACTTTACGTTATGCAATTTAGATATGGCTTTCAAAAATATTTTTTAAAATGTAATTTCCATAAATGCTTTCAGTACTTTAACCAAACACATAACGCCGCCATCGTCTTCCGACCGGAGAGGATCAAATGAAAAACGTAAAGAATCGCTCGTAGAAAAGAAGAAATTAAAAATGAAACAGGCTCAAAGTTTGATAGAAATGAAAAACAAAGAGAACAAAATTTTTACAGAGATAGTGAGCGGACAGAACTCTGACACCGATGTGCCTTATACCTCGCTAGTAAACAACGCACACGCTTTAGAAAATATTTTTAATAATGAAGGTACCTAATTCTATCTAGAATTATTTATAAAAGCTTAGCATAATGTCTCATATATGTACCGAAAAAAATGTATAACTGATGAACCCACGGCCCACCTGGTGTTATACGGTTGCTGGACCCCATTGACATCACAAGACTTATGTCACCACCCGCCTTGAGGTATAAGTTCTAAGGTCTCAGTATAGTTACAACGGCTGCCCCACCCTTCAAACCGAAACGCATTACTGCTTCACGGCAGAAATGGCCAGGGTGGTGGTGGTACCTATCCGTGCGGACTCACAAGAGGTCCTACCACCAGTAAAAGGACAGGGTAGCTCTATATAATTGAGAAATACAAATTTTTTAGAATATCTAATTGGGAAACCTTTTCACGTAATAATAACGAGATCCGAATAAATATCCGAATAAATCCGATAAATCCGAAATAAATGATCAGTAATTTTCAGATAATGTCAATAGTATTCTACAGAGCGAAGAAATGTTTATTGAAATATTATTAGATACTGTTTCGAATAAGTTTCCAACCTTACTTGGCCCCAATGGAGTAAAAAGATTGAAAACAGGTGAGTTGCTAGTTGTGCACGAATTCATTAAAATAAAACACTGTATTCTTTTAACTAACTCTATTGTAATATTTATAAAATTCATCTAATACTAAAATAATTTTATTAACAACTAGCTAACCCGGCAGACTTCGTAGTGCCTCAATCAATAAACAAAAGACCTAAACTTTTGTATAAAATAAACGTAAAACAAACAAAAGGAATCCGTCCGACAGGGGACACATCAAAGGAAAATCAAAATTGTTATTTTTATTTAATTCCGAGCATTTTCATATTTATCTAATCTTTTAAACCTTCTCTGGACTTCCACCAATAATTCAAGACCAAAATTAGCCAAATCGGTCCAGCCGTTCTCGAGTTTTAGCGAGACTAACGAACAGCAATTCATTTTTATATATATAGATTATTGTTGAATATTTTTGCGAATAAATTAACTATTTTTAACATTTCAGGTAGACTACAGGCCAGCAAAAAAGCTGCCCAAAAAGTAACCGAGTATTATCAAAATATTCTATGGGGTGATGTAGGAAGCTGTCTAGAACATATCGTCTTGTGGTGGTCTGCGTATCCCTTAGCTATGAGGTAACAAAGGTGTTTGCTGTATTACTTATTTATTTCTAAATAATTTACTTTTAGAAAGTAGCTAATTCGTAAAAAAAAACACGGAATTTTTGTAGCACTAAACGATAAAAACATAATAATATGTAATTAGTCTGCAACTCAATCTGCCCCTCCATTGTTTCTAGAGCACAGAAAACTAAAGTGAGTACCGCTACTCACTTTGAGAGTTATAGAAGTATAAATTACAATGAAATAGGGCTGTCACACCCTTTAAATCGAAATAAATAATTTGTTGGCAGCAAAATAGGTGGAACCGTGATAAAAGCTTGTGCAAATTCTTAATATACCACTTGTAATTTAATTAAGAACACTCTAGATAGAAGGTAGAGCGGAAGTTCGCTAAAACAAGATGAAGAACGGGTGATGGGGAAAGGTCGACGAAGTCAAATACATTCTGATTAAAAAATCGAACTATTATGGAAATCTAATTATGGATTGAAATTATTGCTTCTTTTTTAGGTCCCCAAATACAAGTCAAAATCTACGACAATGGTTATTTAGTACTTTTAACATAAACAGTAAGTATGAAACAATAGGAATTGATATAATATAAAGATTTTAATGTTTAAAAAAACACGTGTGGCACTCGGGGACTGCCGCGGTAAATTTATTGCATAGCATTTTTTCAACTTATACAATTATAGTTAGACAATAATAATTTAATAATAAAACAATAATAAGACCACGCTATATTTATAAACGTTAAGAAAAAGCGAAACATTAACTGTCCCCTTCACACTTATAAGCTAGACCGCGCGAGAGAGAGATGGGCAGACTTTTCATGATGCGCATGCAGTGCGACGTCACGCCGCGACCTTATTCACAAACACTACACAAGCGCAACGTGTGAATGTGTTGAATGTGAGCTACATGATAGGTGGAGTGGGAGGTGTTAGGTTTTATTTTCGTTACGGAAGTTATTGATTCCGTCGCCGCGCTCAAAGATCGCGATAAAAGCTATGCAATAGCTTAAAAAACTTATTTCAGATACCCCTGATCTAATATTGTCTGCTTTGAGGATATTGGCCGATGCTTTGGGCTGCCATGTCACATCCACTTCTTGGGACAAAAATTTTGGGTAAGTATATTTTAAGTATATTTATTAGTAAGATATATTAGATGTAAAGTAATTATAATCTTAATAACAATAATTTCGTTATTTCCAAGCACCTAACAGATTTCTTAGGAACAATGTGATTACATCTTTATCAAATTGTGCCTAAGATCTAATATTATAAATAATAATTATTGAAAAAATATTATTTCAGTACCACTTTGCGGACCGATTTAACGCCAACAAACTTGAAACTTCATCCGGACCTTTCCTTGTACGTATCTGAGGTAAGAAAATTAAATCTACATATTATATTGAGTACTTTTCTCTGCCAACCATCAAATAAATCGCATCAATAGACCTATATTTTCTACTTTGTGATAGTTCGTAGCAGAGATAGACAGGTCGGTGATATTAATCCTCACTAGACGATGACCGGTGGTAGGACCTCTTGTGAGTCCGCGCGGGTAGGTACCACCACCCCGCCTATTTCTGCCGTGAAGCAGTAATGAGTTTCGGTTTGAAGGGTGAGGCGGCCGTTGTAACTATACTCGAGACCTTCGAACTTATATCTCAAGGGAGGGCGTTTACGTTGTAGATGTCTATGGGCTCCAGTAACCACTTAACACCAGGTGGGCTGTGAGCTCGTCCACCCATCTAAGCAATTTTTTATTTATTTATTAAAACAACAAAAGCTTACGTTTTCAGTGTACGGTGTCTGGTGCTAATTTCGCTCTAATGCTACAAGAATTAGTAACACTCAATAATCAGTGTGAGGTGACATGGGATTTTATATTGGGAGCGCCGATCGAGGATCTACCTATCGTCGAGCAAATACCCATTTTACATAGGCTTGGTATGTTTTATATATTTTTGTATAAATTAATCGTTAATGTATCATTGAAATAGATATTTTTTAATTATAGCCTATTTGATAAATATTCGTCTATTTTCAGAAAGACGTAATTTTTAATTAATATTTAAGCTCTGCTCGATTGTGCCACAGCTCTGCGGATTTCCATGAGCTACGGTAGTCTCTTGTATTTCAGTGGACATTGCAGACCATAAATAATCTTGTAATCTTATCAAATAAATCTATAATATAAACCTATAATCTATCATAATAATACATGATATTGGAGGCGTTTTGACAATGAAGGCCCATGATCAAAGTCATTAAAAATATAATATAATAAAAATATAATAATACCGTCTTTACCATAAGGGCACACGGGGCCCGTGCCCAGGGCCCCCATTCTCAGGGGGCCCAGAAAGACCGACAATTTCTCTCACACGTTTATTCTCAAAACATTTTTGTCGGGCACAGTACACTTTTTTCACAAATCAGTAATCAGAAGGTATTTACAAGGCATATATTATGCCTATAATAGAAGATTTGCTCAACAGAAATCCCGAAAGAAACCGTTATTGAAATCGTAACCAAAAAACTAGCAGCATTCTAATATCATTAATGATATATTTTATCATACTCTATTTGATTACCTATAATAAATGGTCTCAAACTCAGTAAAAAAATGTTATTATAATTCGCTTTTTTTACTTTCCAAAAGGGCCTCAAATTCTTGTGTGCCCGAGGGCCCCATCCTAGTTTACGACGTCCCTGTTAGTATCGTTTTGCCTGTATGCGACGTTACATATAGTTTTGAAGATTAACTACAATAGACAAGTAGTACTTATCAAAATTAAATGTTATTTTCTATAAATTAAAAGCGTTATTCCTTTTTCAGCTTACATCTGTGTATTTACGTATACATACGTATTTATTTCTATTGGGCGATGAGAATGCGTCTCAGCTGGTATTATGTAGTTACCGGAACTCATAGACAACAGACGGTGAATGTGATCACCCATTTAAAGACAAAGAATAGAAAACTCAATCGGAATGCGTGACTATTTCGTAACGAAAGTACGAGGAGGGGTATTATTACTATCTGTGTAGTACCTATGTGTGTTTCATAACACCAGTAATTTGACAAATTATTATATTTCGACAAAAAAGTAAGACTCATACTTATTTCAGATCATTCGATTCACACTTACCGGTTATGGTGCCTTGCAGTCACACGCCGATTAGCCAATATGTGGGAGATGGATGATTTCTTCCGTGTCGCACACAATGACATGCAAGCTTGTATGGAACAATTACTTAACCTGAGATTCGCCGATCATTCGGCAACTATTGAAGAAGGTAGAATAGTCAAAAAAAATTCAATCAATGACTTAATTACATAATAATTAAACTTAACTAGATAAAAGAGAATTAAATATGTAATAAAAAAAACTTCTCATTTTCAAAGCTCGTCTTACAGTTTCGTATTTTGTCTCTTTCAGGGAAGATTGGGGTACATGAAAACGTTTGTGCAAAAATGAGAGAAAAATTAGTGTCCGAAGTGAAAGCCAATATACAGAAATTGAAGGTATGAAACGGAAAATTTATTGAACTTGAAAATTGATTATTTACCATTAACCTAGGAAATGCTTTAGGAGGTTAGAGGCAAGAAGCATAACCTCCGTGCATAAAAGTGTTCGTTGAAAAGCAACCGATTAGGGCAAGGTCACCGTGGCAAGTGATATAATTTAAAAAAATAACGATAAAAGTTACTTTATTAAATTTTTTAACTCTGCACTTCATTCCGCTTCTTCATTACTGAAGGCCGTGGATCAGGTGGCCGTGAGTTAGTATGCATATATTAAAAAAAAATCAGCTAGAACATTTCATATTCTGGCAACACTTAAAAAAAAACTTTATTCGGAACAGACCTTTTTATACAGAGCTAAATTTTCGTGTTGATAAATGTAAAGAAAAAGTGTGTCACATCTAGCTGCCGTTTTTGCAGCTTTTTAGCATCTATGGTAGGCAGCGGCTTGGCTCTGCCCCTGGCATTACTGACATCCATGAGCGACGGTCACCACTTACCATCAGGTGGGCCGTATGCTCGTATGCCTACAAAGGCAATAAAAAAAATGTATGCAACACCAATTAGTTTCAGTTACAAACTTAAGTCTTATCTGTGTCAACCAGTGAGCGTCCGTTGGCTTATGTTCGTAACAAAGTTTTTTTAAACTATAATTTAGTCTACTAACCCACATTAACATAATCAAAACCCAATAAAAAAACTGTTTTTTTCTTTCTAGAAATATCTTTTTAAGTTTTACTTGGATTGTGTTTGTTCTATCACAGGAAGCTTCAGAAGAAATAACGCTGATGGTGTGCGCTGTTTGTAGTACGACAAGTTTAGCGCACTTGACGCGGATATTCCCGCATTCGTCGCACTGGAAGCGGCTCACTAACCCCCCTCAGCAGCACCACTCACTATACGTACACTATTATCTGGGTCAGTCATTTTCACTTTATGCTAGAAAAAGGCTTTATTGACAAGTCAACCAGACCATTTTTAATTACTCACGTCAGTTCGGATCCTCCCGATCCACTAACGGTGCTTTTAGGTACCTCAAGCACCGGTCATCGTTCTCGTCGAACCCGTCGCTTGCGACGAAGGGCTCGACGAGTAAATTAACCCACAGACACAGCCCACAAAGTTTCTCGCCGGATCTTGTCAGTGGGTCGTGTTTTCGTTGTACCCGGTGGTAAATTCTGCGAAGCACTACTCTTGCTAGGGTTCGTGTTAGCAACGTCGTCAGGTATGAGCCCCGTGAGCTCACCTACTAGTTAAGGTTACGCTGAAATAGCCTCTCAAGGCTAGGATAGCTTAGGTAGAAAAAAAAACTTTATTACCTCCTTAATCAAGCCATTTACGCACACTTTTACTGGTGGTAGGACCTCTTGTGAGTCGGCACGGGTAGGTACCACAACCCTGCCTATTTCTGCCGTGAAGCAGTAATGCGTTTCGGCTTGAAGGGTGAGGTAACCGTTGTAACTATACTGAGATCTTAGGACTCATATCTCAAGGTGGGTGGCGGCATTTACGTTGTAGATCTCTATGGGCTCCGGTAACAACATATCCGCCGTGTGCTCGTCCACCCAAATAAGCAATAAAAAACAACCTCTTCATAAACCTAATATTTTTCCATAATATTTTTTAATACATATCTCATGTATGGTCAATGATACAAAATCAGCATTTTCTTTGGTGTTCGCTAATTGTAGATGTAATTAAAACTACTTTTACGTTTTGATCTGGCGTTTTATATTGTCATTATATAATTATCACAGACTAAAATTTTATAGAAAAATAGTCGGTAGTCAGCACAATATTCAAAAGTCGTCGAAAAACACCCGAATCGTTTGTGCCCACGAAAACTGTAAAGCATTTAAAACATCGGAAACAATATCTAACAAAAAGTAACGCCAGATTAAACCGGAAAAGTGGTTTTCATTAAAAAAATCATAAATCAAAAAAATCATTACCTTAAAGTTTTATATCATTCGTAACACGGTAAAACTATTGTGTTATACAAAAATGAGTCAAAATAAAACGACAAATTCAACATAATATTATTGTTCCAAGTAAACTTACACGAATTATTTATAATTTCCTTTATTAAGTTTTAGAAGAAAGTAGTTTTGACGGACTGTTTAAATGATTTTTACAGATAAAATGCTACTGCCTGTGATTAAGGCAACTCAGGACGTCACCACACTAAACATGGTATTAAGAATTGTGGGAGAGTCTTGGCTGCATCATATATACATGGCCAAAGTTAAATTTAGGTGCGTACGTGAAAATGTGGACTAGTGACTTCACCCCACACTTAAATAATGGATTGATAAAATACCTACTAAACTGGTAAAATACCATTATTAAAAGTCTACTATTGAATTGTTTGCAGTAAAGATGCTGCTCAGCAACTCCTTGCTGATTTTAACGAGGTTCGAAACTGGTTGAATGATTGTAAGCTCCTAACGGCCGCGGCTAGGAAACAAATGTTAAATAACGAAGTTTTAAGGTACACGTGCGAAACATATTAATAGCAGCGAAATTACTTAGCGTACCTTTTTTTTATTGCCCTTGTAGGCAGACGAGCAGACGGCCCACCTGATGGTGAGTGGTTACCGTCGCCCATGGACTTCAGCAATGCCAGGGGCAGAGCCAAGCCGCTGCCTACCGCTTAATGCTCTCCACCAGTCTCTTTTGAAGAAGTACATGTCATAGCGCTCGGGAAAAACCGTGGAGGAGAGCTCATTCCATAGCCGGATGGTACGTGGCAAGAAAGACCTCTGGAAACGCACTGTGGATGAACGCAGCGGTTCCAAATAATATGGATGAACTCTACTCCGATGGCGGGAGGTGCGATGACAAAAAGGAGATGAAGGGACCATCTCAAACAACTAACTAAGATATTTTGTCTTTAATAGGGCCACAGCATAATTGTTTCTCTTGAAGATATGTTAAAGCCGTGTTAAAGCTTCACTGCCCGCCTATATTAGTGAAAATGACTCCGGTGTACAAATTCTATCACAAAGATATCCCGAATTTAGCATCATTTCGAAATTGTCTAAAGAAAATTGGCCCATTTGTTCAGGAGCTACGACGACGTAACCATTCCAAAAAGGGTTCAATTCATCTCTGCTCAATTAATCCGCGATTAAAAAGAGCGAAGTTTAAGACTAAACATTATTGAAACAAAAGTTGACACAGTAAATCTATAAAATAGTAGCAAACGTGTGGCCTGACACGTTGCTGTGAAAAGGTTTTTGTTTCTAAATAACACGTGGCCGGCTATGCTAACATCAAAAATTTAAAAAGTGGAAATAATTGAATTATACTGTATTTCGTTCACTACAAAATAAATTTAATTAATTTTATAGCGTCAACAACACGTGGTAATTATGCTGTTAAAATGTAGCTTATATGACACGTTCGTAGATTTACCATAGCAGCGCCATCTATTGATTACTTACTCAACCCAGTCGAAAGGTATCGACATCTGTTAGAATCATTTGGAGTTAACAGATAATTGTGACTGTCAAATAATAACAGACAAATAATTAGCAATAAATTAAAATTGCGACTATAATTTGAGATTTAAACTATCCTATCTCTCAAGTTGGATCGAACTGCACATGGTGTGCGAATTTTATTATAATCGGTTAAGTGGTTTAGGAGTCCATTGAGGACAAACATTGTGACACGAGATTTATATATATTAAGATTTTATTTAATGCAACAATAGACGGCTTTTTTGTATAGAACTTATAAACATTACGCACAAAAGGGCCGGTGGTTTAAGACATTTAATTTGCGTGGTCTCCTACTCTCCTACAAAATTGCATTTTCACATAAAACTAAATATCACTAGTGATCGAAGTTACTATTGTACATAATATTATCAACAGACGATGTGAAGGTGTCGGCCGGCTGCTATTACATGCACCAGGCGATCTTATATCTATGCAGGAGTCTACTATGCAGTCTGCCCAACAAATCCGGAAAGATGGTGGGCTGAAATTTATTTAATTTTAAATCGCATTTCATTTTAAGTTTGTCGATAAAAAATTTAAGCAACGTTTTTTTGCTTCAAACTGAACGTAAAATCGATCTCTAATGACTTAAGTGAATCGGTAGCCGTACTCGTCGAACTCAACAAATAGTTCGACGTGTAACCTAACCTAAACATCAGTCCGTTGAGTTTCTCGCCGGATCTTCTCAACGGGTCGCGGTTCCCACCCGGTAGTAGATTCGTTCGCGAAGCACCTACTCTTGAGTTGTTAGGTCTCCTTTGGAGGCGCTCGGGTAGCTGTTAGCAAATCCCACCGCTCCCGGCTGTGCATTTGCTTGCCCACCTGCCCTGGTAAAACTGGAAAGGCATCCACGCCACCAGTATTCCCTTCAGCCCTTATTCTTGTTTAGCCTGATGAACTTACGCATGATATTGAGATAACGTAATAATTTTTTCAAATTTTTGCAATTTTTTAAGGTACCTTGTGAAAATTGCGTTGAAAGATTGGTGATCAAACCGCACCATTATAAACTTTTTTCTGTCGAAGAGATTCACGCCCGTCAGATGTTTATGGAAATATTTTAACTTATCAGACTGAACTTTTTGACAATCCTCCTATAGCGGGCTCACAAAGCTCCGATGACTCATTAGTATGACCATAAGTGAAAGCGCTTTTGTTGTAAGATCTCAGTATTAATTTGTTGAATTAAGTTATATATCTTTTTTATTTGTTTATTATAGTAACCGAAAACGATTCTCCAGAGCAAATGATGCCGGCGGAGATGTATGTACCGAACCAGAAACAGTGGCTCACGCTCAGAGCGGGAAAGCTGAAAGGACCTGTAGTTTTTTCTCTGTGCTGTGTCGTATTATTGTGATGCCTTTGAAAATAAATAAAACAAATTTTATTAATTACAATTTTATTAATTGATAGCCTTTTTTGTGAAATATATACATAAAGGTTGAGATTTATTGTGGGTACGCAATAAAATCATTCTTGAAAATGATGTTACAAAATAAAAGTAACATGTGTAACAATGCTGCTATTTCTGTTGGTCGGAAGCAATTTACATTCTGATTTGAAGAGTGGCACATCCGTGATACAATACCATTGAGACTTCGACCTTATATGTCAAGGCGGACGGCAGCATTTACAGTGAGTTTTATGGCCATGGTTTTATAACCAACATCTACTCTTATAGCGGAATTAATAAACAATAGTGTGTAAAAAATACAATGAAAAAGATGTATAGAATTTTTTTTTGTAATGACAACTGTTCCTGTAATCATTAAAAAAATTCATAAAATCTCTTAAGACAATATCCAACAAATTCACTTTTTGAATCAACCAAATATTAACAACTATGTCTAGTACAGGCACACGAACAATTGCGTGAATTTACGTGCATTTTCACTTTGATTTAATGATGAGTTTTTTTAAAGATTACTTTGTCGCTTCATTTATTAAGATCGTTTAAAATATGAATATGACTAGCATCGGTCTTGGTCATTTTAACAACTTCTACGGTTGGTACAAAGGTAAGAAGCCCAATCCCTATTTATGTAAGAAAGTCCGTCAAAAAGCGACTAATTAGGAGGGCGCCACTGTAGTAAGTGATGTAATTTTAAAGATAACCCCAACATTTGTTACCTATATTAAACTTTTCACACTCGGCACACTTGACTCTGTTTAGAACTGCAACCTGTCTGTTTATATGTCTTATCTATGACTACAAAATTAATATCAAACCACTTGCTACACTAACGCTGTTTTGGTAGGTTTTTGTGTTGTAATTTGCTGCTTTAACTAGCTTTTTCAACTTGTCCCTGATATTAGATAGTTCTGCTGACCCTTTACCTTCCATAGATACGTTTTAAAATTGTAATATACCTTTAATTTATATAAGTTCCGGTTTTAAGAGTATGACAGCAATACAAATGAAGTATGATAATCGTTATGATGTTATGAGCTCCGGTAGTCTCTAAGTATCAGGTGGCCGTGAGTTTGTATGTTCATATTTATTGCTTTTTTTTATTGCTTAGGTGGGTGGACGAGCTCACAGCCCACCTGGTGTTAAGTGGTTACTGGAGCCCATATACATCTACAACATAAATGCGCCACTCACCTTGAGATATAAGTTCTAAGGTCTCAGGTATAGTTACAACGGCTGCCCCACCCTTCAAACCGAAACGCATTACTGCTTCACAGCAGAAATAGGTAAAGCGGCGGTACCTACCCGTCCGGACTTACAAGAGGTCCTACCACCAGACCACCTACTACCAAAATTAAGAAAAGCTATCCTTACCTCTACACTCCACAGTATTTTTTTCTTTACAAAGGAATACTCGTTATAACAACATATTGCATTACGCATAATCACTAGATCTACGCTTAATCTTATTACTGACAATATCATTTACAGCTTACATCTAAAGGTAAAAATATTAAAATTGTAGCGGCTTCTATCGACCATTAGATGGTAGATGAATGACGTTAACCAATGCAAGGAATCGTAGGTACAACTATTTCTAAATTAACAAAAAGAAATTAGTAGGTAATTTATGGGGGCTGATACATTTTTGTAATCAGAAATGTATAGAATTTTTTTATGATCACAATATTATTTTAATAAAACCTACACAGATTGAAGAATTTATATACAGAGACGCAAAGCGCTTAACGAAAACTTTAAGGCGAATTTACATTACGAAATTAGTGGCGTGAAATTAATTTCGTGACATTAGTTTTACCAACAGTTTCACGTGTAATTTAATACTTTCGTAATGCATGCATTAATTTCATGCATGGAAATTAGTTTCGTGCCCTGCGCGATTTTTTGGTGAAATTAATGTCATGCAACTAATTTCATAGTGTAGACGCGACGTGAACTAATGTCGCGAAAGGGCCTGCGCTGTGCGGACGTGTGTATTGTTAGTTCGGACGCGCTTCAAGCGTTGAAAATGGCAAACCAACGATGGAGTACAGATAAAAATATAGATCTTATTAATGAATATCAGCGACAAGGGTGTCTCTGGGACCCGAAACACCTACAGTAAAAAAGCAAAATTATATTCACTCATTCGATAATAGTTTTTATAACTCTCAGGATCTTCATCTGCTAATTCAGAGACTAACTTCATTGCACCTAAATGCCTTGTTGTTGACCATCCTCGAATCCACCAACTTTTTTTTCTTGATAGTCTTTTTTTTAAGTTTAGAGGTATATAAGCATTTCTTTAGCTACATTGAATATAGCATATAGCATAGAATATAGCTTTGATGGTGAAGGCGCCATGGTTACTGCGATACTGTGGATTTCGCGACACTAATTTTTTGACGAAATTACTTTCGCATATATCGAAACTACTTTCGTGAAACTGAGCTCAACATGCATGACACTAATTTCGTAATGTAAATCCCGCATTACGTATAAGCGTTACATATAATTACAATTATTTTCAAATATAACAAACCAGTAATTATGTTTTCTGGGATGATTTATCGACGGAGTTTTTTTTTGTGGATATGCTTAATATTGGCAGTAAATAATGCAATAATTACAAACGTCTCAAAAGCTACGAACAAAAGTTTCCTAATTTAAATTTAAATAAACTTGTTTGATGAAAGAGCTTACTTGGAGTAAACATTACAGGAGTCGTCTATTATCAAAGGTGGCAATCTGTGCATTTGGACAAAAAAAATTTATTGATATGTCAATACAGATTTATTTGAATATAATCGTCTCCTTCAAAGAATACGGTTCAAAACCTGCATTAAATAAAGGTTAATAGTTAACCTGTTATTTATCTAAGATGTCGTTCCGAAGAGTTTTGTGACTGCCAATGGAATACAAAGTCAATAATTCGTTTTTCTGATTTACCAATCATTGTCCAAAAGTCAGATTGCCGCCTTTGATAATAGTCGACTCACAGATACGTTTCTTAAAACACAAATCAACGCGTGCGTGCGTGCGCCTGTGTTTGTGTGTGTGTGAGCGCGTGTGTGTCTGTGTGTGGGCATATGTGTGTGTGCATGTGTGTGTGTCTGTCTGTCGGTGTGTGTGTGTATGTTTTTTTAAATTCTATTCGTTTCATTCTTCATCTGAGTCGGACCGTCTGCATTTCTCCTTGAGTTTCTCATACTCGTTGTTCTTGATGAGTTCCTGTTTTATTTTCTCCATGTCGCTGAGCAGACTGCTGACTTGGACGTTTTTGAGTTTGCCCGGCAGCTCCGACTCGGTGTCGCTGTCTAGGCCGCTGTCCTCGTCCGATTTGGCCGGCGACTCGGGATCCTCGGGATCCTCGGATCCGCTGTGGACGCTGCTTTCGTCGGAGCTGTCAGGTTTGCTGCCGAGCCTGTAAGCTTTCGGTACGTTGTCGTCGTGCATTCCGTGCGAGCTATTCTCGGACGGGTCCTCGCGATCCCCCTTCTTCTTACGTACGCTCTTCGCTATTATACGTTTCTGGTGATCTAGTTGCGGGAATAATCCTGAAAGATTAAACAAGATTTTACTATGTAAATTTTTTTTTTAGTGAACATAAACGTTTTTTGACTCTGTATTTATTTTGTAACAAGTTGTCGTGTCACTCAAAGCTAAATAAAATGGTTCATGACATCATTTCAATAATTGACTTCGATGATATTTTGTGAAGTTGCAATGTTAGTATTACAAATAGCCAACTACCGCCGAGTAGCAGTTTTGGAACAAAATTTCATTTTTCAAACGCAACGTTTTCGAATTAACGTTCCGGGAAACGACAACTCCGTACTGGCCTAAAGGTCTAGATACCAGGCCATAAACAAAAAAAAAAACAACCCCGTAATTTTTTAAATGTTCACTTCATGCGTAATATAGGATGTATGTGTACCGTATGCAGTATTCAAGGCTTCCTCGGCCGCGTTCATCTCGGCCTCCTGTATGGAGTGTCCGCGTGCGGCCGCCAATCTCTTCCCGCGGAAGTACACGCCCACAGTATACACTCGCGTGTTCGTAGGGCCCAGACACTGGATTACTCTGTGAAAACCGACATAAAGGTTTTACTAACAATTATTTCATACTAGCGACCCGCCCTCGCTTCGCTTCGGAAACTGTTATTTATTATTGATTTCTCCACTATTTAATGGATGTTATTATACATATAAAGCTTCCTCTTCAATCACTCTATCTATTAAAATAAACCGCATCAAAATCCATGCAAAGGTTTAAGCATACATAGGGACAGAGAAAGCGACTTTGTTTTATACTATGTAATGATGGACAGCAGAGGAAATTAATTAAATCAACGCGTGAAAGACTATTTGGTTTAAGCGACATTTATCTTTGTAATTAAAGGTGCGTTTTATTTGGTATTATTATCAACAGTTTGATGTTTTAAATTGAATTGCGATTAAGTCGCAGTTGCAAAAATATCGAAACCTAACAATTAACTGCTGCCATTGTAGAGAATCATTTTTTTATTGCTTTCATGGGTGGACGAGCTCACAACCCACCTGGTGTTAAGTGGTTACTGGAGCCCATAGACATCTACAACGTAAATGCGCCACCCACCTTGACATATAAGTACTAAGGTCTCAGTATGGTTATGACTGCCCCACCCTTCAAACCGAAACGCATTACTGCTTCACGGCAGATTATCTATACATATAAATAAAATTAGTGTCTGTTTGTAGTATTGAAATAACCGCTTTTTACTACATGCATATGAATATATATAAAGTACATACACCAAAATAACATTTTTTACAATTTTGTCTGTCTGTCTCTTTGTTCCGGCTAATCTCTGGAATTGCTGGACCGATTTTGATGAGATTTTCACTAATAGGTAGCTGATGATATAAGGAGTAATTTAAGCTACTTTTTTTAGACTAGCTTTGCCCCGCGGCGTCACCCGCAGTTATTGTCGTACCGCGCGCAACATGGCTTCGCCTATCAATAATAAAATTTAATGTTTCCGAAGCGAAGTGAGGGCGGGTCGCTAGTATTAAATATATACATATATTGAAAGATGAAAACATCATTGAAACATACTTGTAGACCGGTATATCCGGCTCGCCCCCCTCCATGGACCGCAGCGTGAGGCAGCACTGCTGTAGTTTAGACTTGGGATCGTTCCAGTCTTGATTCATGATGAACTGCTGCAGGCGCGGGAACAGGCACGCGTTGCAGAACGCCTGACAGTACTCCAGGTTCTGTCGGAGCATTTAAAATTATAACAATACTGAATTATTAAAAAAAAAGCTACAATGACTAAGTTAAGCTTGGGGTTGCTTGTATATAATTATTTCTATTAAGTCCTAAGTCTCGAATAGAACTTATATATACTAATAATATATAAATCTACAGTGGTTTTTACGGATGTTCAGTTTTATTACTGGTATTAATGCGTTTCGGTTTGAAGGGTGGGGCAGCCGTTGTAACTATACTTGAGACCTTAGAACTTATATCTCAAGGTGGGTGGCGCATTTACGTCATAGATGTCTATGGGCTCCAGTAACCACTTAACACCAGGTGGGCTGTGAGCTAGTCCATCCATCTAAGCAATAAAAAATAAATAAATAAACTAATGAACCATGCATCCGATTGACTTGAAACTCGGTAATGGTTTCCATGTAGAAAATACATGTAGTTAATGGATAGGCTAATATTTATATGAGTGTTGGACTCCTTACACCAGTTGTGAGGGTGTTAATAATGAGAATCTTTGTTGGGTTTAGAAGTAATAATGTTAATTTTAAATGGGCAGCGAAGCGGATGGGTACTGCTAGTTATTTATAAATGACAATTCAACGATACCGTTATCCAATTGTCAGCTCAGGTCAAGGATACTATTAACATTATCGAGTAATGGCGGATTATGCTCTAGGTAACTTCAATTTCGTTGTTCAATGACCGATGAAGTTTTCTCTTAGCCGTATAATAAAACGAAAATTTAACTCACCTTATCAATAAACAATGCTCCCAAGAAAGCCTCGAGTAAATCAGCCTTATGTTTCTTTGTGGTCGGTTTCGCTTTAGGATTATTGTATATAGCGTACGCAGACATGTTGAGATCGTCGCAAACCATAGACTGTGTTCTGTTGTTGACCAGAGACGACCGTAACAGCTGTGAACGTAAACAAACCAAACTTCATTCTAAAGTCATTCCGTTGTCCATCACTCTACGTCAGGATGAACGTAAGCTATTTATATAACGTTATTTGTTAGTAAAAAATAAAGTCAATTATAAACTTTTAATTGTCTTGAATATATTTTAACACGTTGACTGCCTTGTAGGTACCATTCATTACCCTTCGTAACCAACTGAAGTAATTATGTCGATTTCTATTACTGAGCGGCCTGGATTGCCTAACTTTGCCTTCTTTTGTTTTTAATGTATGTTTTGGTCTTTTAGGTATTTTAGAAATAGATTCATTCTCAGTATCTGCGGAATCGACTTTCTCAGAGTCCTCATACCCGATCCTGTGGACCGAATGGTAAGCAGTCGACGTCACCCTAAACACGTCATTACGGATCCTCCCGATTCATTAACGGTGCTTTTTGGTACCTCAAGCACCGGTCACCGTCCTCGCCGAACCCGTCGCTTGCGGCGAAGGGCTCGACGAGTAAATTAACTCACAGACACAGCCACTGAGTTTCTCGCCGGATCTTCTCAGTGGGTCGCGTTCCCGATCCGGTGGTAGATTCTGCGAAGCACTGCTCTTGCTAGGGCCAGTGTTAGTAATACTCCCGTTTGAGCCCCGTGAGGTCACCTACACGTCAAGGAGAAGCTGAAATAGCCTCTCAAGGCTATCAACATAGGTAGGAAAAAAAAATCTCAATCTACTAGATATTCAGGCGCCTTAGTAGAAATCGATTTAATTACTTCAGTGCGCTACGTAGGACACCGGTGACCTATATAGGAGTCAACATGTTAAGCTAATTTATAAAGTGGTGCAATTGCGTATGCAATTACTGTTCGAGTCAAATACATCACCCATCTGTACAATAACATCAAAACAACTCACCGACAAATGACCTTCGTGGTGATCAGGGAAGTGCCTGTACAGTCGATCGGACACGACCAGCTGGAGCACCGTGTCGCCGAGGAACTCCAAGCGCTGGTTGGATCCGAGCGTGAGCAGAGTGAAGCCGACCGAGCGATCCGTGAACGCACGAGCCAACAAACGTATGTGTTTGAACTGTACCCCTGGAATATTACAATACGATTTATTGAGGTCGTCGTGGCCTAAAGGATAAGACGTCCGGTGCATTCGTATGTAACGATGCACCGGTGTTCGAATACCGCAGGCGGGTACCAATTTTTCTATTGAAATACGTACTCAACAATTGTTCGCGATTGACTTCGCGAGTAAAGGAATAATATAGTATAATAAAAATCAAACCCGCAAAATTATAATTTGCGTAATTACTGGTGGTAGGTACCACCGCCCTGCTTATTTCTGCCGTGAAGCAGTAATGCGTTTCAGTTTGAAGGGTGGGGCAGCCGTTGTAACTATACTGAGACCTTACAACTTATATCTCAAGGTGAGTGGCGGCATTTACGTTGTAGACGTCTGTGGGCTCCAGTAACCACTTAATACCAGGAGGTAGGCTGTGAGTTCGTCCACGCATCTAAGCAATAAAAAAAATTACAGACTTATCGATATATCGATACAGTCGTATGACTAGTGTCCGCTTTTATAAATATGAATTAATTTGCCATAGAAAAATAATAATTTCATTCAATTATACAGCTAAAAACATTAGGCAGTTTTAATTAATAGAATAAATTACCTATAGATTCTTCGAAGTCGGTCAATTTTTGTAAGAATTCGAAGTCTTTTATATATTTCCTGTCGCCCAAAGGTTCTTGTTCTTGTAATGGATGTGCTCTTTCCTTCGTCCAAACTTCAAGCAGCTCCGATTCATTGTGCCACAATGCCAGAGAGAAGACTCGGTCTGCTACCTACGTTATAACCAAATATAGATTATGATATCGAGGGGTGAAGGGCCATTTTTTTAGCCTAACAAATACAGACTATTAAAAAACAATCTATTTTATTTCAAACTGGCAATATTTCTTTAAAGTAATTTTTAAATCAATCTACGGAAAGCGGCATGTAATTTCATCAAAAACATACATAAAACAACAAACATAAAACATACAAAAATTTCATTTTGAATTTTTTTTTAAAGGAAAGGCTGTTACAGTTTTGAATAAATATTTTTATAAGAAAGTCCGTTAAAATTTGTTTTAATGCTCGCGCGTTCATCGGTGCGTGTATGGTAAACAAATATATAAATTATTCCTATTGGTCGCAAGTAGTAGTAAGAAATTTTACAGACAGACTATTATATTAAGCAGATTATTAATATATTGATTAAGATAATAAACGTACCTCAAGTCCAGCGTCGAGAAACAATGCGCCCATAAGAGCTTCGAAGCAGTTCGCCATCGCGTGTCGCATCACTACGTCGCGACACAGATCCGAACCGTGGGCGTACAGCATGAATTGTTCAAGATTTATATTCTGTTCACAAAATGTTTCATCTTAGCTATTTGTTTAATTTTGTATAATATACAGTGTTACAAAACTACCCGCAAAGCCGAAAGGAGGTTAAATGGGGCCTTATAACGAATACATCCACAATATTTAAGAACCGTGGTAACGTCGTATAATCTACCACAAAAAAAAAATTATTACTTTCACTGACGTGCAAACCCTATTTCAGTAAAATTAAAGAGTAAACTACGCAGAATGTACCTACATTTCTACCTAATTCGCAGAATGACAAAAATTTTGACAAGTTTGTCACACTTGAGTGTACTTGATTATAATGACATCCTTGTATTGAGGTAGCAAACATTTATTAATAAATAATAAAAAAACAAAGTAGACAATTATTAGGTAAAATAGGTACTTTCTGTTAAATAATCTGGTTCCCTGACATGACAGCTTACTAGGGTTGGCAAAACTTTTAGCTTTTATAACTAATTATATTTTTACGGGGTATTTTGTAACACGTTGTATATTTGATTTTATTAACACAAGCATGTAATTCTAACAAAATGCAATGATTTAGTACTTTAAGAAATTTTATGTAAAACAATATTAATGTTATAAGTTATAGATCACCTACACAGTATAAGGTTAGTATAAAACATTTATAGCTAGCTAGCTAGCTAGCCGTACTCGCCCGCTTCGCTGGGCATTTAAAATTAACATTATTATTTATTGTCATTATTATTTGGGAGTCCAACACTCATATCAATATTAGCCTATCCATTAAGTACATATATTTTCTACATGGATACCAAGTTTCAAGTCAATCAGATGCATGGTTCAGTAGTTATAACGGAACATCCGTAAAAACCACTGTATATTAGTATAGATTTAACAATGCAAAAAGGTGCAATGTAGCACAATATGTCTGCTGACTATATTTCTAATAAAATATATTCCAACGGTATAAAATATTTAGTGTTAGCATTCTTTTATTTTGAATGAATTTTGGTTTGGCTGATTTTTAACAAATACGTTACATAAATGACAACCAAATGATACCTTAGCAAGTTGTGCTAAATGTTGATTCTGTACAATGGCAGCTCTGTAAGTAGCGAGTCCTCCTTCTGCCAACCCAGGAAACATCTTAAAAAGATGAATCGAAGACAAGAATTCCACTACAGCATCTCCCAAGAATTCCAAACGTTCGTTGTGCTTAATCTCTGATTCTGTCTCACTGATTTTCCCGAAACTGGACATTATTTTGATAAGTGTTACTATGCCTGCAAAAAGAAAGCTTGTTTAATTTTATTAATCGCTAACCGAGTGACATAATTATTCATGTTAAAATACAAAATACTTAGTTGTATAACAGTACATGATTAATTAATTTTACAGCAAAAAGCTGCTTATAGCGTTTCTCAGGAAATTAGAATGGACAGCAACAAATATAAGTATTATTATTATATTGGATTAACGCTTTCTATAAATACATACTGAACAAAAACTATTATATTTTTTATCTACCTTCATATTAAAACGTTTAAACGAATGATTATTGTTTCATTGCTTCATTAGATTATTTTGTTAAAGTATTCCAGTTTGATTTTTTTATGAGAGCGATTTTACAAAACAAATGAGACTTTAGCCTCATAGTCCAAAATGGGTAATTCCCGCTATGATCTCTACAGGCTCCGGCAACCACGTAACGCGCGGCGAGATGTTAGCCTCTTCTTCACCCATATCAGTGGTTGACAACCTTGTCAACCAAAAGAACCAAACATAGATAGCACACAATTGAAATTTATTTAGAGCCTTTTTTTAATATATTTTTATAGTCTTATTCGTCTCCGTAGTAACATTCGGTACCTGAACTAAATATTTCGCGGAAGAGTCATAACCAATGAGCCAAAGCCACGGGTAGATGATCACTGATCATTTAAAAAAGTAAACAAGGTTACAAAAAAAAAAAATACCCTTCTTTCTTGTATAATGTATTCTTCGGTCCCCGTACTCCGGTTGTCGTATACCGCAGTTAGTGAGACTGTTCCTCGCGTGGTCAGGGTTGGTACCAAAGTTTTCTCTATACGATGGATGAGTTAATGCAGTCTGGAGCAATGCTCGTTGCTTAAAAATATAACCGATTTTCTTCTCGAGTTTTTCGAGCGACTTGTGGAACCGGAGGTGACGCACCAACACCGGTATTAACATCGCGTGCTGCAATATTATACATACATTTACCAAATTTAATTAAAGATCCCGATCTGATTGTGTATCGATTTTATTTCAGTCACCGTTTCACTTTTACTTTAAATAAATCCTCTTTTTAATTTATTTTTTTTATTGCCTTTGTAGGCAGACGAGCATACGGTCCACCTGATGGTAAGTGGTCACCGTCGCTCATGGACGTCAGCAATGCCAAGGGCAGAGCCAAGCCGCTGCCTACCATTGAGTACTCTCCGCATGCCTCGTTTGAAGAAGGTTTATTTATTGAGGTTCTTCCACCACTTCAACTAGATCTCCGCACCCGAAACCATCAATGATTAATAGGTAACGCATTGACGCCTAATAATGCGTTTGTCTGACGGGCTGATCGCGCGCTAAAGTTTTCGATTTTAGTTCGATATATTCGTGCACTTTTATAAAGGCTATTAATTATAAATTTACAAGAAAATATTTTGGAAAATGTGTGGATTGTCTTCAAAAAACTATGCACGTAGTAGCCCACTGAGTTTCTCACCGGATCTTCTCGGTGGGTCGCGTTTCCGATCCGGTGGTAGATTCTGCAAAGCACTGCTCTTGCTAGGATCAGTGTTAGCAACACTTCGGTTTGAGCCCCGTGAGCTCACCTACACATGTTAGGGTGAAGCTGAAATAGCCTCTCAAAGCTATCAAGGCTATCAGCATAGGCTAAAAAAATATATGTAGAAACATGAAGTGAAGTAGGACATACCAGGACACAGCGGTGACCGTTTTAAGTAGGCGACGTGATGTGTCGCTTTTCGACCACCATCCACCTCAAACATGAAGCTGATATCTTAATTATATAGATATTTAGACATCTTTCTTTCAAGTGACAAACAGACAGAGCGTTGATGCTCGTGTAAAGTTAAACATGTTATAAATCAAACCTGCACGACGTCACACATGAGTCCGGTAGTGTGGAACCCTTCCGACGATATAGCGACAGTCACGTCCCTTTTCATTTTAGACTGAGTGCGCATCTCTTGCAGCTTAGCCTCTTTAGCGGCTAATTTCTGTCTCTCCTTATAAGAAGTCTTCGCCATATTCGCTATTAAATGGCGGTATTTAACGTAATAACGCCATGCTTTTTGATACCTAAAATTGTAGTTCAATTAATAAAACAATTAGTGCTTCAATTGCATTACTGCTTCACGACAGAAATAGGCAGGGTGGCGGTACCTACCCGTGCGGACTCACAAGAGGTCCTACCAGCAATAAACTTTTGAGTTTTCAGAAAATGCATCAAAGCGTTTTGTGATGCACACAAATTTTTAGTCAGAATCTGTTATGTTTTTATCGATAACATTGTTTAATTGAAACAATTAAGCTGTTACATAACCAGCATCACACAATTTACTTACTCGGGGTTGCCAGCGTAACTGAGCTGCGGCGGACGTATACCAAAGTGTACGATTTCAGGGAAGTATTTCTTCAATGCTTTAGGGTTCTTAACGGCTTCGGAGCCCGTCGGCGGACTTCGGTCGAGCTGGTCCACGCGCACCGAGCACGGCTTCTTACCGGGGTAAGTCACTATCATACCTATAAGACAAATCATTTTTCGAGTGCAGCAATTTGTATATATACATAATAAACTTCGGACCAATTCAAACCTTTAATGCAGGGGTCGGCAACCTGTTTGTCCATAAGGGCGCAATACTAAATTTGAAAATCACCGAGGGCGCATATTGTACAGATAATCAACAGGTATAAATAGGCATTAAAAAAAACAGATTTTTTATAACTTTATTTTGTTGGTGTCATACATAATGATACATATAATTCAGTGTGAAACTTGGGTGTCCATATTTTCAGCCAATTTCTTATAATTGGGGATATATTTAGAGTTCCCGGTCCTTAAGCAATTATCTAAATGTGAGTCATTGAGCCACTCTGGTCTTTTCCATTTTTCTATACGGAGCGGAGACCTGGACACTTAAAGCAGCTGATCGCAAGCGTGTGGATGCTTTTGAGATGTGGTGCCGGAGAAGAATGCTCCGGATACCTTGGACAGCGAAGAGAAGCAATCTGTCTATCTTAGATCAACTGCAGATCAAGACTAGACTGTCCACACTCTGCCTTCGACGCGCACTCGAGTACTTTGGTCATATTGCTCGGAAAACACCGGATAGCTTAGAGAGACTATTCGTGACAGGGAAGATCGAGGGAAACAGACCGCGCGGGCGCAGTCCGACGAGGTGGTTCGACCAAATCCGCACCACACTAGAGATCCCATTCCACGACGCCCTTCATGCGGCCAATGATCGGAGGCGCTGGCGGGACATTACAAGGAGCAAAATCCTGTCGACATATAATGGTCACGACCCTCAGCAGTGAGGAAACGACGCGAGGAGGAGGAGTCATTGAGCTTTGTTCGGTATTGAAAGAAAAGAATTCGGATTACTTGGTAGTTTTAAGTGCACGGTCTACGCGTGGTCTATTCGAAATACGACTACGAAATACACACTAACAAAAAATACGTGCGTGTTATTAGATACGCTCAAGGTTAGCAAACTGATAATCTATGCACAACCCTAAACTCAATTGACTACTTGCTGTATATCGCCGTTTGACAAGAGTAAGTAAATCGTTCTGGCTATCATACATTTACATTAGTCCAGCGAGGGCGCATTAAAAATCGAACGGGGGCGCCGCGTTGCCTACCCCTGCTTTAATGGTTAACCACAAGATTAATGACGCTCGTTCTAACTTCAATAAGTATATCTAAAAAAAGCACTAATTTGGTGATGCTCGTATGCTATCAGATCTCTGGTGGTCTCATACACCAGGCAGAGTTCATCCTTAATATCTCAAATAAGTGTGATCATTTTTGAGATAGACCAGTCTGGAATGAACTCCCCTGCGTGGTTCATTTCTATTAGCAACAGTAAATAGTTACCATCGGGTGGACCGTTAACTTATATGTTACCAATGTGGATAGAAAAGGCTTCTACTCCACAATAAAATTAAGACTACCTTACATTTTTACATATTATCAAACAAGTGAGAACGGATTTAAGTATTTTCAGAATATATTTACTATTATCTATATTTCATCAAATATAACAATAATATCAGTTGTTAATTTGCAATCAAGCGACCAAATTTAATAAAAATATTTACCTTTGATTTTATCAACAAACTTTTGCCAGGTGTAGTGATCCATTTCATGTACGTCACTCAACTTTTCCATCGGTATCAGTAAACCACTTTCGTCAATCAAATACTTTATAACTTCACACATTGAGAGTACCTGTAAACAAACAGGATTATTTCTACCTGTTTATTATGTATGTCATTTTTAATAATTATTTACACAATATCTACCTAGTCGATTTTAAAAATCCTTAAACTAAATTATTAGCAAATAAATGGACTGTGAAAAACATTAGAGATCCATACTAAATTTTCAATTACAGTCAAACCTGGGTAAGTGAGAACTGGATAAGTGAGAAAACTCTATAAGTGAGAGTAATAGCCAGGACCCGTCATTTGAAGCTCCCAAAACCTCTATTAGCGAGAAACCGAAACCTCTGTAAGAGAAAGTCGTTTTTCCCTCATGGACCTCCGTAAGTGAGACTGCTACTTATCTATACCTCTATAAGCGACAGTCGAGCTTTATTTATTTATATTATTTAGAAGGAACAAATGACAAAACAAATTATAAATTTAACATCTGCTATTTTATCTCATTCTTAACTTTCGTGGAACTAAATAACGTTGTTATTTTATCGCACTCTTTTCGAATGGACACGTGTGCCTGTGTACCGTCCTATTTGTCGGACTTACTGAGTTTATCGTTAATCAATTGCGAAGGAAAGTTCTGTTCTGCATCATGTCAAAACGGAAAATTAAAGTACTGTCATTATGCGTCAATGCGTTTGAATCTGGAAAATCGCGAAATGAAATTCAGAGGGTGCATTAGCGAGAAACTCGGGTTAGTGAGAAACCTCTATAAGCGAGAATGAGATTGTGCTCCCTCGAACTCTCGCTTATCCAGGCTTGACTGCATATAATGCAAAGTATCAAAAAAATTATTATCAAAATCATCATGTGGCATGTGGTGTGTAAATTATTAACACAAAAAATTGTATTACATAAAGTTGTATATAACATACGATAAGTTTGTGGTACTCATCATTACTCACAAAAAAGTCCCAGCGGCAACATTTCAAACTATTATAATTGTCACATAACCGCTATATGTTCAAAGTATTCAATCAAAACACAGTTAGAGTCAAAATCTCTTGTCATTCGTATTGATCCTTATCCAACGCCAACGGAATAGTTTCATACTCAGCGTTATAAAAACATACAATATGGTATATATGTAAAAGGTAAGTGAAAGAAAAATGGCAAATTAGAGACCAGTCTTACGCTTAATCAGTTAGAGATATCTATTCATTTCTTATATGTAAACTTAATACAACAGAATAATGTTTTATAAATGAGATTATATTTAATATTTAAAATATCATAAGCCTATGTAAAAATATAACGATTATATTTTATATTCGTTTTGAATTGTACTGTACCTCACATCCTCCTTCAGGTAAAAATCTTACAAATCGAGGCATAAAATGGAATTGTGAACATGTTGTATCCGTGGCTTTTCCCAGGTCCAAATCAATCAACTCTAGTAACTCCGTAAATAGGAATTCCTCTGAAATTATTTAAGTACACTAAGACTAACATAAGTCATTTATAGTATAAAATAACTGCTTTAAAAATGCATTGTTGTAATATTTTCTGCTCAGTACTAAAAATGGTGTCAATACTGGTGTATCAGATTATAAAATGCTTACCGAATAGACTTAATTCTTGTATAGTAAAATTTCTTGGTGCCGGTTCTTCCACATATAGAATTGTGTATTCAATATTGAACCTTATGACTTTGCACATAGGCAACTTGGCAAGTTTGTAGTGCGAGAATAAAGAGAAGCCAGAAAATAGAAATTCGTGTTCGTCGTGAGCTATGATTGTTGGCGCTTTGATTAAAAAGTTTGTTGGTGGCGACACGGTTATACTGTAAAAAAAAATTAATAGTTAAAATTATTTATATTATTGTATTTATAGATAGCTTTGCGAGTTGATTGCTTTGAATTATAAATTGTGGTTCTGAAATGCATTATAAATTCTGCTTTATACTTATTTACATGACATTGCATTTCCAAAGATATTACTGTTCAATTTGCGACTCTTCTTAAGTTTTGAAAAAAGTACCAATTAACATATGGAGGGGTGAAAATCTATTTGATTTAAGCCACATGTCGCCTATTAAATGACATTTATCTTTGTAATTAAAGGTGCGTTTTATTTGGTATTAGCATCAACGATTTCATGTTTTTATTTTAACTTCAATTAAGTTTACTCCATTCAAATACTTGAAGAAGTTTTTTGTTATGATTTTCCTAATTTCAAACTTAAAATGACTCTCCTGTAAAGTTGCAAAAATGTCCCTTAAACCAAATAGTCTTTCACCCGTCCAAGCGTTCAATAAGTCCTGTTCAGGGCGTATTTCCTTAGAAAAATTGGTACCAGCGTGAGAGATGTAAACACGGACATCGCATCGTTTGATAGAAGTTTTTGTCTTAAACAAGAGGAGTATACTTGGTGAAACTACCGCGTCAACTCCGAGGCGGCACAACACCACAAATATAAATTCACCAGTGTCCTTCATTTAGAAATTTGTCTCATTACACCCGCAGTTGGGCTTATTCAGGATAATCGACATTATAATATTATTCGGACATAGGTAATCATTTTTCATTTTATTAATATCAATCTTTATCAAATTCTAACCTTAATTCTTTTTATTGTACATAAAGAATGCATCAAACCGAATACGATATAATCATCCATTTTTGGACATCCTCAATCGCAAATTTCTGTTTCCAACTCAATAGTGGCGATTACTCATTTGACGTTGCAACCAAATTATATAATTCGAAATTTACCGATTAATATATGCCGCTGGCCATAGCACAAGTTCATAAAGAACTTTTGCGCCCCAACTAGTTAGGTTTAATACGGACTAACCGATAATGATACAGTTTGTCGATATTGCTTCGTTCAGGAATACATTTCGGGAATGATTCCTCGCCGGCGTAGACGCCGTGCCGCATGCCGTGACGACGGGCTCGGGCGCTACACCGACACAACGGACCGCCGTTCATTTCGCCGGTGTTGTTAAACCTGAAAAATTTATTAAATTTCAAATCATTTACTGGTGGTAGGACCTCTTATGATTTTACTGGAGGTAGGACCTCTTGTGAGTCCGCGCGGGTAGGTACCACCACCCAACCTATTTGTGCCGTGAAGCACTAATGCGTTTCGGTTTGAAGGGTGGGGCAGCCGTTGTAACTATACTGAGACCTTAGAACTTGTATCTGAAGGTGGGTGGCGCATTTACGTCGTAGATGTCTATGGGCTCCATTAATCACTTAACACCAGATGGACTGTGAGCTCGTCCACCCATCTAAGCAATAAAAAAAAACCAAAACATTTTTAATGTTAAACACTGGATTGCTTTCAAGTAAAAACCATTCAAAGTTAAAAAAAAAAATCCTACCTAAGCTGATAGCCTTGAGAAGCTATTTCAGCGTAACCTTAACTAGTAGGTGAGCTCACGGGGCTCTAACCGGACCGTTGCTAACACTGACCCTAGCAAGAACAGTGCTTCGCAGAATCTACCACCGGATCGGAAACGCGACCCACTGAGAAGATCCGGCGAGAAACTCAGTGGGCTGTGTCTAAGGGTTAATTCGCTTGTCGAACCCTTCATCGCAAGCGACGGGTTCGACTAGGACGGTGACCGGTGCTTGTGATACGTAAAAGCACGTTAATGGATCGGGAGGATCCGTAATGACGTGTTTTGGGCGACGTCGACTGTTTACCATTCGGTCTACAGTATCGGGTATGAAGTCTAATAAAAAAGCAGTGTAAAGTATGAAGTATCAAACATCGTCACTACAAAATCCATCATATGCAAGTCAAGTAAAGAGCTGTAGCTCTGTAGTGAGATCTATGACTTACCCACCAACAAGAAGGAATAAATATGCGAAAGAGACCTAGTGGGTTAAGATTGAAGAACAAGACAGAAGTACAAACTCTAAAATTTCGTTCTCCAGTTTCTGTCCAGAAACAATCCAAGCTTCCAGTTTGGTCTCAGCATGTATGTTCCGATGATAAGAGATGTAGTGATATTATGGGACTGCATGCCAGTCTCACTGTCGCACATTCTTCATCATTCACACTCACCATATAAACATTATCAATATTATGGTGCGATTTCGTACCAGCACTAGTTCATCATTTAATCAATTTGAATATAAAATCTAAGTACTCTTAACCTCGAACATACCACATTTCAGGGTGCAATCTCCTGGGATGACTCTGTTTCCGCTGTAGCTCTAGCATTATCCTATCACTATAGCCCTGCAAGCCCTCTTCATCTAAACATCCGTCACTTTCTGATGATGATGACGATGATGACGACGATGAGCTTTTTTCATCAACTGTCAAATACATATTTTTTTAATGTTACATTTGTGCCTTCCTAGAAATTTGTACCTAGGTCAACCTGATAGTCACAGGTTTCTCTCATTCATCAGTATTCCTAATCCATTATACAATTCTGTGAAAGTGTGATTGTGTATTTTATCATTGACACATTAAATTAGTTTTATCGGTCACCCTGTTGTAAATTTATCTATTAATATTATATAATATTTAAAATAAAATAGAAATAGGTAGGTACTTACGTTTATGTTTGCACATTTTCGATTTAGGTGGCTTTAAGGGTGGGAGCTCATCAACCTCAGGCCTTGCATTACGTCCCCTCTCAATGAGTTTCTTCATGAATACTTCACAAAGTTTCTGCAGTTTTAAAGTTTGTTCGACTCCTTCACCATTTTGGACTTCTTTGTAATAGAGCTCAGCTGGTGAACTCCTATACCACATTGACGACTGTAAAAAATTAGTTAACCACTGATTAATTTCACTGTTCTTGGTACTTTCGAAATTGGCATTGAATAGACTAATTTATGTACTCTATCAGAAGTAGTGGTAAAACATTTTTTTATGGCTAATTGCCTAATCTGTGCCCGCGATCTACGCGGCTGGACGATGCACTATTATATGGAACTGCTGTAGACCCCACTTATAGACTCCCCTGTACTGTCGCCTAAAGATCCAATCCTTGCCCCAAAGAATACCCGGTAGAAGTAAGAGGGGCAACCGCAGTCAACACTGCAACCAGTCGCGCGGTCCATCACCACAAGACTATAAGTCAGCCATCTTGGTCGGCGGTCCCTTAAGCCTCCCAGGCTTTGTTGAAAGTTTTCTAGGGAATAACGCTGAACCAGAACCAATTTGTCAAGTCGAAACTCAAATCACCTCCAACTGGTCGTTCTTTAGTATCAAACTATGCAGCCTGCCAGAGGAGTGGTAGCGCGCTGTGCGACCTCGTTTCCTTTAATTACCCCAGACAGCTACCAAGGAAGCCTGGCCTATACCGGGAAATAGTGATAAACAATGGCAAGTTTTTTTTTGCGAGATAAACGTAAATAAACAATATTTATGAGAAATAATATTTGTAAGTGTTAAATCAAATTTTTCCAATAAAAATTCAAGTTACATCTAGTTATGATAGTTTAGTGTATTTTGTTAATTTACAGATTGCACGATAAACTTTAACAACTGAACTTTGACTTCTTCTCCTGCAGTTCCTAACTATTAACTATATTAACTAACAGTTTTATGAAACAATATTCAACATATGATTACGTTTTATATATTGAAATCATATGAACTTCCAAAAACATTCCCCTAAATTGGAAACAAAATTAGAAAAAACTTTAAGCAAATATTTAGCAAGAATTTGTTTGAAAATCTGCACAGAAACAATATAATATGTCATATACAATATAAATATGCAGAAATAGTTTTGGTACTACTGAGTCAGTCAAGTTTTATTTTAATTTAAAGGAAAGCATTAGTTTTACAATTTTACATAATCTTAAACTGTAAAGTCACATGCCAGGATTTTCTTAAATATATAAAATACTGACCTCTTCTCCTTCAGAAAGATGTTCTTTCGACCACTGTTCCATTTTCTGTATAAAATCTTCAGAAGTTCTACAGTAGTTTTTCCTAAAATTAAGAAAATTGTCATACAAATTAATGTGTAAATAAATAATTAATTAAATGTTAGGGCAAATACACTTAATTTATTAACTTTAAAAATGCGAAATTTAACTGTAAAAGCGAGTTTTTCTTATACCACTATTAACTGGCCATAATAAATTTAATCCAGACACGAATGTGTATTATTCATGTTTTTAAGATTATCAGAAGAGGCAGATACTGTTCTGTAGTACTGAAGAAAAGTTATTTAGAAAGCCATCTACCTCAAGAAATAAAGTGAGAGTTATAAATGATATCCTAATACTAGTATTTAAACAGAAATTAATGAACGCCTTAGGAAAAAAATAGCTAATTCGGTGGTTTATCATTCGGACTCACAATATTCAAGAAAATATGCATATATTTCATTAGTGTACCTGTGAACCAACCAAACGTTTTTAATAATAATATGCAAAAAATAGAAGCAAAAACTGTTAAATTAAAAGGTGGTACCAAGACAAAAAGAAAAGTACCTGCCCATGGAATGTTGCACTGGATATTTAGAGAACCTAAGAAGGGTTGATGTTAAATTGGCAATCATAAAACTAAGGCCAAATCTCTATGCAGCATAAGCGGACATGCAGCATGAACCCCACACTATGTGATATAAGGGCAAGAAGAAGTGCACCAGTGAATCATAAAGTATTCAAGAAACAGAACTAGACGCTTGCCAGAAGTGCCAAAAACTGGTTGTGTAGTTTTTCAACTCAATTGAATAAACAATAATATGTGTACACTGTGGACTCAGTACTAATTTAAGTTCTTTAGTTTTCATTTAACAATTAAGTTATTAAAAGAAATTTCTACTTTGACATCACTTTAACATAATTACCTATATTCTTCCAAAATCTTTTCACGATCTGTCATTGGTTTGCCTAAAAGTGATTCTTGTCGGTGAAGTGACATTTCTCTCGTCAGACTTTCTCTATTGGACTCCCTACTAGGAGAATGCGCCCTTCTGCTTGGTGATCTATCCCTACCTTCACATCTACTGTGGCTTCTATAATCTTTGTATTGAGATTCACTGCGGCGAACATCATATTCATATTTTCTTCTACCATATTCTCGTCTTCCTTCATAATACTTTTTCTCTCTTTCCATGTAATATCTTTCTTTCTCTCTTTCTCTATAGCTATATCGAGAAGGACTTCTGTTTAATTTTGAACTGTATCTTGGTGGACTTCTAGAGCAATATCTAGGACTATGACTTGTCGGATTCCTCTGTTCTCTATCTCTATCCCTCTCCCTCCTGCTCCTATCAGAATATCCATGTGGAGAATGTCCTATGTGAGGGGACTGTCCCCTAAAAGGAGAATGCCCTCTTTGGGGAGAATAGCTATGTCTTGATGGTTCTCTCGAATTTCGATAGATTTCTTTTTTTTTATATGTTGTACCACACAAACCATGATCTATTCTAGTTATACCAGGACTCGTATTACTCAAGCTATTGGATGTTTTGTAATTCCACGGTAGATAATCATTAGTATCTCTGTGCGATTTGGATGCTTGGTAGGAAGATACTGGATGTGGTGGAGGGACAGAATGTATATCAATGGTGGGCATAAAGTTGGGTACAGGTAACTGTGGAACAGGAGCTGGAGGCATGCGTGAATGAGGGTATGGTACTGGCGGTACTGATAGCATCGGAAGTACTGGTGGCGGTCTGGTATATAAAGGCATTGCTCTCGGAAAGATAGGCGGAGGTGGGTGGGGTGGTAATGGGATATTAACTGGAAGCCTCGGAATTGGCGGAGGTGGAACACTGTAATCAACTGGAGGAATAGACATACTGAAATGTTTTACTGCTTATCGACACATACAGTTTTTTTTAATTAAGAAACTTTAACGTGAATAATGATGAATTACTTCCGTCAACATATTCAATCCAAATGTTGAATGATAAATCCAAGAGTATTTAATTATATATTTAGATTATTTTGAATGAATGTTGAGTTTATCAAATATCATTTTTTTTAAAGATTTGATGACCTGGTAACTAAGACCTTTAGGTTAAGTCTTAATTTGGCTATCAATCAAAGTAAATCTCAATAGAGATAATTATCGGAGATAGACTATTAAAAAAATCGTTTTTTCCTCAAAATATATCGATTTTTTTTCCACAAAAAGGTGGATGGCTAAATCGACATAAGGCAACGAATTTTTGGCGCCTCAAAGGCCCCTACAACATAAAGAAAGACCAATTTGGAGGAAGGCGAAAAAGAAAACGAAGAATTACAAATGACATTTGACAATAAATAGTATGGAGAATAAAAGGTTTACTACTATAACTAACTAACTGGCTATATAGATAAGCATGTTTCATTAAAGATGCCTTATATGAAAGGACTTCAAATGATCTCAGAAAAATATCGAGGGCGAAGTAAGGAGTAGGAGCATCATCTCAGTGTACTAAAATGTCCACTGAAAGGGAGCTAAATAAAGTGGTGCCATAGACGTGGAGCTTACAAAGCTGCGCCATAAGCTACAACACTTCACTCTATTTAAAACTGATATATTCAGGTAATTTCCACTTTTTTTTATTGCTTAGGTGGGTGGACGACCTTACGACCTACCGGGAGTTAAGTGGTTACCGGAGCCCATAGACATAAGGCAACCGTTATAACTGTACTGAGACCTTAGAACTTATATCTCAAGGTAAGTAGCGGCATTTACGCTGTAGATGTCTATGGGCTACGGTAACTACTGACACCAGGTGGGTGTGAGCTCATCCACTCACAAGCAATAAATAAAAAAGACATCTACGACGTATATACGTTGAGGTATAAGTTCTGAGGTTTCAGGTTTTACAGTACAATTGCTGCCCCAATCTTTAAACCGATACGCATTACTGCTTCATGATAGAATACATGATAGGCAGAGCGATGATACCTACCCGTGTGAACTCACAATTTGACCTACGATCAGTAAACCACTTCCTACACTACTGCTATTTCGATGAGTCTTCCTATAATAACTTTATGTTTACAGATGGAAACTTTTTTAACTTGTCGCACAAGATGCTGCACTTTACCGTTACTCTCCGTAAGTAAAAATCATAGATCGAAAGTACAGTTTCTATAAAATTAAGAGAAAACTATAAAATAATTTACAATTATTTTTAATTCTTACGGGTACTTTGAATCTCTTCATTTTACTATAACAGAGAAAAGAAACGAAAATCAGTTTTCAAAGCTTTTTTTAGAAAATAAGGATTACTGGTGGTCCGGTGCTGGTTTCACCGAGACAGGTGGTCGGGCAAAAGCTCAGGCAGATTTTGGTTTACGGAAGCGGTCAGATACGCAGGATATATTTAGGTGCGCAAACTTTTGCGCTCACGCAGGCGCACACCCTCGTCCTATCCCTTCTTGGATCAGTGGAACGGGAAGCCGCTACGAGTGAAGAAGGGGTTGGATGTGTCTGGTCGACGGTGACTATATGCCCTCCACCATCGCCCTAGGTCATCCACCTTGCCTTGCTGACCTGCCGAGTCCGCCAAGTCACGTTGCATATCTGCGTTGTGTTGCCTTCCTCGCCAAGTCAGACTTTGTGTGTTAAGCGGGAGGGAGCCGCGTGTAGGGATGGGTATTAAAGAGATGAGGAGAAGAGGGAGTTAGGAGTAGGAAGGACAGGATACTGTAGCCACGGGAAAGTAGGTTGTGNTTCCTATTAAAGTATAAATTCTACAAATACATTCATACTCAACAATATTTAAAATAAAATAAGCCAAGAACGTTTATCGATAAAATCTACTAACATTAAAATCTTCTGGGCAGCACTAAAACCGCCATGTTTTGTGGCCAGATGACGTCACAGTGGCACGAATTTTTCGTTGACGTTTCATTTCCATAGGTTTCCTACTTCAGTGAATAAAACAGATTGACAATGACGTCAACTTATGGCTGATAATTTCAACTAAGAAGTTTACATCATAGACATAAGGCAACCATTATAACTGTACTGAGACCTTAGAACTTATATCTCAAGGTAAGTAGCGGCATTTACGCTGTAGATGTCTATGGGCTACGGTAACTACTGACACCAGGTGGGTGTGAGCTCATCCACTCACAAGCAATAAATAAAAAAGACATCTACGACGTAAATACCGCCACCTACCTTGAGGTATAAGTTCTGAGGTTTCAGGTTTTACAGTACAATTGCTGCCCCAATCTTTAAACCGATACGCATTACTGCTTCATGATAGAATACATGATAGGCAGAGCGATGATACCTACCCGTGTGAACTCACAATTTGACCTACGATCAGTAAACCACTTCCTACACTACTGCTATTTCGATGAATCTTCCTATAATAACTTTATGTTTACAGATGGAAACTTTTTTAACTTGTCGTACTTTGAATCTCTTCATTTTACTATAACAGAGAAAAGAAACGAAAATCAGTTTTCAAAGCTTTTTTTAGAAAGTAAGGATTACTGGTGGTCCGGTGCTGGTTTCACCGAGACAGGTGGTCGGGCAAAAGCTCATGCAGATTTTGGTTTACGGAAGCGGTCAGATACGCAGGATATATTTAGGTGCGCAAACGTTTGCGCTCACGCAGGCGCACACCCTCGTCCTATCCCTTCTTGGATCAGTGGAACGGGAAGCCGCTACGACTGAAGAAGGGGTTGGATGTTGTGTCTGGCCGACGGTGACTATATGCCCTCCACCATCGCCCTAGGTCATCCACCTTGCCTTGCTGACCTGCCGAGTCCGCCAAGTCACGTTGCATATCTGCGTTGTTGCCTTCCTCGCCAAGTCAGACTTTGTGTGTTAAGCGGGAGGGAGCCGCGTGTAGGGATGGGTATTAAAGAGATGAGGAGAAGAGGGAGTTAGGAGTAGGAAGGACAGGATACTGTAGCCACGGGAAAGTAGGTTGTGGTCTATAGTAGCTCAGAGAAGGCGGGATCGAATGCAATAATGAGACTTCGATCTTTAATACTAACTTTCGTTTTGGTTTACACGTATGAAACGAACCTGTGCCTTAAGGATATTGCGCTATTTTAATGTGAATCGATTCTTTGGACTGTCACTCGGATCTATAGATTGATCAAATAGGTACCTACCTAGTAGTTCTCTTTTTTCTAACTTGAAAGGCAAAAGTATCTTACCAAACAGCTTAATCTTTTACGTGTTCTTTTTTATGAAAAATAATATGAAGCAAAATGAAATGAAGTTAATTAATTTGAAACATAAATAAATTGACATGAAATAAAATGAGATGAGATAGGATTAAATATAATCTCCGTAAAATCGTGGTTAGAGATCTCGAGTAGCCACGTCCAGCCGCTCTGTGTCATTTTCCCACATTTGTACACTTTCACAGATACTAAACAGTTATAAACCTCCATTAATGCACATTTAAACCTGAAGAAACAATAGAAGGGATAGAGAAAATCCGGCAATAAGCTCAGCGGACTGATTCTAAGTTTTGTTCTACGACACTTTCTCGTGAGTTTTGATGAATAGATAGAGACTTGGATGTTGCCATCAACACCATAGTATTCCCTATATTTCTGCTAACTTTTCGGGGGAATTTTTAGTTTCAATTATTTTGACATAATTTGGTAGGTTTCCTACACAAGTTTCAAGATTTCAACATTTAAGTGTTCCAGGATAAAAGAGTTAAGGGTTATTGGAACCCATAGACAATTAAATGCAGATGCCACCACTTCACGTTTAAGATAACATCAAAGTCTCAGTTTGATTATAATATTTGTTCCACATATCCAATACAAATTTAGTCCCGAACTTTCAGCTGATAAGTTTTAGAATGTGTACATACAATACATACATTAATTGCTAAGCATTTAATTATTAAAAAACAAAATTGTGACAAATGTTTTTCATTTTGGCACTACCAAGACATTCTCCATCTTTATAGAGTACCGCATATTGTCCTTCAGTAATTGCTCTTAAATTATTTTTTAAGATGATAGTAAGTCCCTCGGAATTTTTCACAGTTTTGCATGGAGCTAAAGGTTTTGTATGCTGGAACCTAAAGTAACAATTAAGCACCCCATTTTCTGTTAATTCAAGAGGTTCTCTCCTAATCCAGTGAGGTGGCATAGTGATGCAAATATTGTTCCACAATGCTGAATGTTTTGTTCCTGCAACCTGTAATTTATAATATATTTTTATTTAATAAACAACAAGTGAAGAGATCAAAAAGAGAGAGATTGATGGACACAATATGATACTCCAGTATGTACAGACCAAAGTCACAATTCAATTTAAGTAATTATGAAAGTTTGAAAATGTGTTCAGGAACAGCTTATAAGATATTCGAATTGCTCTTAAACTCGAGTAAGTATTAAAATTAACAAACCACATAAATGTTATTCGTTGCCAAGTCTTTCTTCAATACAAAATATGCATCTTTACAATTGGGCAGGCAACATCTTTGACCTACTGTCCACTTGTGCAAACCTTCGTGTACACCAACAATCCTTCCAGTATCTATATCTATAAATTGTCCTTTTTTTGTATCAATGTACTGTAATATAAACAACAAAAACAATGAATTATTTTTTACAACATAAACATCATGTTTTTTTGCAATATAATCATTTTGAAAGTTGAATGAGTTTTGGATCCATGTCCATGAACATTATGAGATAGAAATTTCTGCTCTCCTTTTTACTATTACCTACCTCCATACCAGATTAGTCAAGGTGCATCAATACAGAAACTACAGTTAATTCATAACCCTTTTTTAAGATTTATTTCTATTACTTTTCCAAGAACCATGACATAACCTTTTAAAAACATGGATTGCCAGAAGCAGGCAGCTACGTACTTAAGCTATAGAATTAAAAGCCAAAAAAATATATATTTCTAAATCAGCTCTTGACAGGAAAATATATATTTTTTCAATTATTTTCAAGTCTTTTAAATTATGTAAATACTAAACTTACTTCTGCAATAAAATCTTGAAATTTTTTTTTACCTATGAAGCATATTCCTGTGCTATCTTTTTTATTCGCTACATTTAAAAGACCTTCCTTTTTAGCAATTTCTCTCACTTCAGTTTTTAATAAATTGGCAAGAGGAAACATACATCTTTTTAAGGAGTATTGTTTTACTTGTGACAGAAAAAAGGTTTGATCTTTGAATTTATCCTTTGGTTGTAATAATTTAACATCTGCAAAGATTAAGAATTGTAATGAAGTATAGTTTACTTCAAATTATTGTAAAATTTAAAAGTTGTAAAATTAAAAACAACCTTCCGTCTCATTGTAGTACTCCAGAAAGAGTCCAAAAGATGTGTTTGCATAATGTCCAGTTGCTATCACATCAATACCTAAATTGTTCCTGCAATGTTGATAAAAACTATCAAATTTTATGTATCTGTTGCATAGAATGTCAGGGTTTGGAGTGAATCCCGTTTGATATTCTTGTAGTAACACAGTGAATACTTCATTCCAGTATTCTTTGATGAAATATACTCGGTGTAACGGAATATTTAGCTTACGACAGACAAACGTAGCGTCTGCAAAATCGTTTTCATCAGAACAATAACCCGCTTCGTAATTGCTGTCCCAGTTTCTCATGAATACACCTTCCACCTGATACCCTTGAAAAAAATATGCTTAAGATAACAGTTTCGGCCTATGTTGTTTATTTTTGTTCAATTTCTTGACAGCTCTCTCACCAGCTCGTTTAAGTAAAAGCGCTGCAACTGCACTATCAACTCCCCCAGAAACTCCCAATGCTACTTTATGGAACATTTCTAATATGCGACAAAAATTCGAATTTCTCTAATCAAACAGGGAGCAATAACCTTTGCTTCTGTTATCATAGATATTTTTTTTTTGGTACAATTTTCCTTATTAGGAAAGGCAAGGGGATCTAAGCCCATACAGCTTTGTCGGTTCTGTATAATTTCTGAAATAAATTTTCAACAAAGCCAAAGACAGGTCTTATATGATTTATATTATATCCTGAAATAAAAATTTCAGACCGAAGCCAAGTCCTTTATAATTTTTTCCTCATATCTTAAGATAGTAGTAGCAGTTTTATTTTCCAAATGGAAAGGCAAAGGTATCACACCATACAGGCCTAATCTTTTATATATATTTATTTTTATGAAATATTATAATACTATAAAATGAAATGAAGCTGATTAAAATGAAACATGGCATGGCATGGCATGAAATGAAATTAAATTAAATGAATTGAAATGAGATGAGATATGATATGGGATATTTTTATGAAAAATGATAATATGGAGTGAAATTAAATGAAGAATTTGAGACGTTAATCAACTGGGATGAAATACAATCGCAGTAAAATGGTGGTAGCTTACTGAGATTTTTTCAGTGGACTTTTTGGAGGATCCCAAGAAGTTACGCTCAGCGGCTTTGTTTCCTTTTCCCACATTTGTGCATTTTCACAGATATTAAACGTTTAATAAACCACCGTTATTACACATTTAAGCCCGAAGAAACACTAAATAGACAAAATAAAACAAATCACACAACTTCACTACTCACGTTCCCGCCAAAATGCCCGATATTTAATACACTAATTTCTCTGCTCCATAGAACTAGTTCTACCCTCCATACATAGAACCTACACTTATTATTTAAAACTCTATTTTTTTATACAGAGGATAGAAGCAAGGAGGACCATCCTGACGTAAAAAAAGGCGTCCGCTGAAAGGGAGCCGCTGATTTTTCATTTTATGAATTTGGGTTCCGGAATATGGGAGAAACAATTTTTTTTTTATTGTTTAGATGTCTGGACGAGCTTACAACCCACCTGGTGTTGAGTGATTACTGGAGCCCATAGACATTTACAACGTACTCACCTTAAGATATAAGTTCTACGGTCTCAGTATTACGGTTACAACGGCTGTCCTACCTTTCAAACCGAAACGCATTATTGCTTCACGACAGAAATAGGCAAGGTGGTGGTACCTAATAATGTGTAATAACGGTGGTTTATTAACTGCTTATTATCTGTGAAAGTGCACAAATGTGGGAAAATGAAACAAAACCGTTGTACATAACTTCTTGGGATCCTCCAAAAAGCCCACTGAAAAAATCTCAGTAAGCGACCACCATTTTACTGAGATTATATTTCATCCCATATGATCTCATCTCATTTCATTTAATTTCATCCCAGTTGATTAATGTCTCAAATTCTTCATTTCATTTCACTCCATATTATCATTTTTCATAAAAATATCCCATATCATATCATCTCATCTCATTTCAATTCATTTCATGTCAGAGATGGCATGGCATGACATGTTTCATATTAAATTAGTCAGCTTCATTTCATTCCATAATTCATAATAAAAAAATTAGGCTGTATGGTGTTATGTCTTTGCCTTTTCATTTGGAAAAATTAAACTACTAGGGTGTATGGGCTTAGATCCCCTTGCCTTACCTAATAAGGAAAAATCGTACCAAAAAAAAAGTTTATGGATATGTTTTGTTGACGAAGCGAAGTAAAGCAAATAATATTTTAATTACATTTTAAGTGTATTATTTATGAGATAATTACAGTAAAAAAAGTAGTACATAGTTCATTAAGCCAATTAAAATTATCTAAAGAGCAGTAAAATGTCCGAGATGTCAGAAAAAACTGAAACTACATCTGATGCTCGTCGACGTATCTTAAACATTGCAGTTTCTACGGTATTATTGGAGACCGGTTTCGATGCTGCTGATAAAGTTTCGTTGGAAACTTTGACTGAAATGCTTCAATGTTGTACGTAAAACAATATCTTAAAATAACGTTTTACCAATAGACGTCTTTTTCATTACATTTTAGTGCCAAGTGTATTTATATAATTGTATTTATATATTTCCACCAATAAAAAAACCAGAAATTTTCTTTAAAGTAACAAATCAGGTACATATTTCACAGAAATAAAAATTTACTACTCATTACAAGAACTTCATACCAGGAAATTGGAATTTGCAAACAAAGTGAATTTACTTAATAGATATTGCGGTGCATTTATTAAAAAAATCAATATGCTTATGTTAACTAGCTCATTCACTGCTAGGAGCAAAGTTCAAAAACATAATTAACTTTTATGTAAAATATAACACCAATTATACTGTTATATTAATGGATTGTTTTAGTTTTTGCAGAGGTTGGGAATTCGGCGAAAGGATTTTGTGAGCTATCTGGACGGGTGGAGCCAGTGTTGGGTGATGTTGTAATGGCACTTATTAACATGGGTATAAATAAAACAAAACTTTATTTATAATTTTTATAATATAAACTTTATTTATAAAGTTCAGTATTTGCATTTTATATTTGAAAATGGGAAAGGAAACCTGTTATATTTGTAAATTAACAAGTGATGAAGTTTCCAAATTTTTTCTCTGAATAGTAATATTCATAAATGTTAGTTTTCATGGTTATGAATAGATTAATAAAAAATGAGAAACTTTACTGAGTGCTTGTTAATCATCAATATTTTTTTTAGGTATAAGCTTACAGGGTATTGAACAATATGCTGCTCGTCCAAATCGGCATGTAATTCAACCTCCTCAGCAAGCTCCTGCACCTCGCACCCCAGCTATGTTGTCAGCTGGCTCTAAAGCTAAACCAGCACCACATATACCTTTTCATTTGCCTCCATTACCAGATCCACATGCATACATCAGAACACCTGTGAGTATAAACCTTTAACCACAAATGTTATACTAAATAATAAGTAGGTAGTTGAATGATTTTTTGTTTAGTTTTAATCAAAATACATAGCGAAGGATATAAAACAAAATGATTAAATAAATCATTGGGGACTTTTGAGGTGATGCTTAGTATTTTGCAGCAAAATAGAAATTAAAAGTTTATTTATGTTTTTTTTATTGCTTAGGTTTGTGGACGACCTTGCGGCCCACCTGGTGTTAAGTGGTTACCGGAGCCCATAGACATCTACAACGTAAATGCTGTCACCCACCTTGAGATATGAGTTCCAAGGTCTCAGTATAGTTACAACGGGTACCCCACTCTTCCAACCAAAATACATTACTGCTTCACGCCAGAAGTAGGCAGGATGGTGGTACCTACCTGTGCGGACTCACAAGAGGTCCTACCACCATAATTACGCGAATTATAATTTTACGGGTTTCATTTTTATTACACGATGTTATTCTTTCACAGTGGAAGTCAATTGAGAACATTTGTTAAGTATGTATTTCATTAGAAAAATTTGTACTTGCCAGCGTTCTTCGAACACCAGTGCATTACTGGATACTAATGCACCGGACTTCTTATCCTTTAGGCCACGATGACTTCATTGTGATCAGTTTTGATGTTTATCATTTTTTATGAAGCAAAAAACCTTCTGCCAATATGTATATTCTTGAATAAATAAAGTTTGTGAGTTCTAAATCGAACTAATTCGTTGTTTTTTTTAAATTACAGACTCACAAGCAACCAGTAACTGAATATGAAGCCATTCGAGAGAAGGCAGCAACCCAAAAAAGAGACATTGAACGTGCTTTGACTAAATTCTTAGCAAAGACAAGTGAAACCCATAATTTATTTAATACAGAAGACAATCAGGTTTTTCCATGTATGAATAAACTCCTTTCATTTTGTATTAGGAATATTTCTCTTTATAGAGATATTAATAGACTGTTAACATCTCATGACCATGTCACTCATGTGATAAAAAGAAATGCATGTGTAATATATGTTCACAAAACCTCTTCCAGGATGAAAGAATAACATTTATAAAAAAATGCAACACATAGGCAGGTACTACTACGCATCCTTTTTCTGACATGAAGGAGTGAGGTGTTTTGGTTTGAATGATAGAACAGTTATTAAAAATATATTATCGAGATTTCAACCTTATGTCTCAAAGAGTGGGTGGCATTCACATCGTGATCTTTAGAGATTTTGGTAACCACTTAACACTAGGTGGCCTTGTACTTTATATAGTAGAAAACAGTATTTTATGAAGCATGTTAGTAGAAGTTCTTTTATTTCATAATTGTGAGTATGGTATCACCTTAAACTGAAGCTGAAATGTATAAAAAAAATTAAAATCTATATTTAAGTTAATCAAAATCTATACATAATGTGATTAATCTCACATGTTTCAGTAATCGCCTGTAAGCCTACGTTTCCAGCTTATTTGCCCTGTCTTTTACCAACGGACCAAGTCTTTGATTTTGATGAATTAGAATATCATTTTCAAGTCGCTAATAGAACTGAAGACTTGCCTGCTGATAAAAAAGGTATAATCTATATATTAATATTATGTGAAGCAAAAACTTTGTATCCCTTTTTACGAAAATTGCCTGGACGGAGGAGTATGAAATTTTCCACACTTATACAGAATATAGAGAAGAAGTGCACAATGCTAATATTTTTTTAAAATAATGCATAAAAGATACATTAAATCAATAAAGAAAACATTACACACACTACATAATAATATCATGTATTTGACGCACACACCACACACGCATGCATACTATTTATTGTCAAACTTTTGTTCTTGACGTCTGTGGTCAAATTGAGAATAGATTAAATATTGTTTGTCTTTATAATTTTTTTTTATAGTGTAACCTTGGCGAAATTTGTGATTATAGAAGTATAAAATACAATCATAATATTGTACAAACATACAATTCCAATTAATTATAGTCGAATTTCGACTACTGCGGGACCTCTAGTAAAACATTAAATTACAATCCAGTGTGTAAAATATGCTCGGCCCAATAGTCACAAGTTTGAAGTATTCTCAAATTGAATTTGTTGTTTATAATTAGTTTGAATTTATAGTGGATTTAGAACTTTATATAATCTATATCCTTTTTCAGATCAATCAGACAATGAAGGCGAAAATGGCGCTGACAATGATAATGCAAATATTTCACAATCTGAAAATCAAGAAAGTGCATTAACATCCAGTCCAGAGAGAAATAAATCTGGTGGATAGATTAATTATTTAGATAGTAATGTAAATTTGTTTTAAAATTCAAGTATATTTATAAGTACATTGATTGTTTTTTCTCTTCGTTCTTCATTAATATATGAGAATAATACCTTCGAACCGAACATACCTAAAGGATTATTATGTCCATCCTAATTCCATAGATCATTATGGAAACAATAAGGAAACATCAACGTTGATAAATCGTAAAGAAATATTTGTGTATAAATTAAATCAGAATTTTTTTTACTAATATTTTAGTGTATATCTTTCGCATTTTAATTAGTATTTTTGATACAGTCGGGTTTTTTGTTTAGTTAATTGATTTGTCGTAGATAACGGGTTAGATAGGTAATTAAGTAGATGATCTTCGTAAACAAATATTCTAGAACAGACGCAAATATTTTTATTGCGTTAGGAGGTAGACGAGCATACAATCTGCCTAATGGGGGGGTTCTGCTTACCGATACACATATATGCATCAGTAACGCATAGCTGAACCGTTGCCTGCCACATAAGATTATTTTCAAACAAAAAAAAAAGACATATAGCGCCCGGAAAATACCGCGGAGGGAATTTCAAAGTCGACCCTACCTACTAATACTACGTGATAAAAATGATCTCTGAAAACGGATATCTGATAATTGAACGGATAGNTAATGGTGGGTGCTTACCGATACACATATATGCATCAGTAACGCATAGCTGAACCGTTGCCTGCCACATAAGATTATTTTCAAACAAAAAAAAAAGACATATAGCGCCCGGAAAATACCGCGGAGGGAATTTCAAAGTCGACCCTACCTACTAATACTACGTGATAAAAATGATCTCTGAAAACGGATATCTGATAATTGAACGGATAGAGTCGAGATTGTGTGGCATTCGGCAAACTACCTTTAACAATTCCCCAGAGAACTCCCCATGGATCATGTTACAAAACAAACAGAACCGAAGTCCCTTCGTAGTTCAAACTCCAAGGTTCTAAATTATCCATCAGAACGTGATGAGATTATCGACAATCCAACCACTTCGATAAAGCGGCACGACACGAGAACCCTCTTATCGTGGCCGCCGGTAACTACATTCCCGATCCTGCGGACAGAATGGAAAGCAGTCGAAGTCGCCCAAAACACGTCATCTCGGATCCTCCCGATCCACTAACGGTGCTTCTAGGTACTTCAAGCACCCGTCACCGTTCTCGTCGAACCCGTCGCTTGCGACGAAGGGCTCGACGAGTAAATTAACCCTCAGACACAGCCCACTGAGTTTCTCGCCGGATCTTCTCAGTGGCTCGCGATTCCGATCCGGTGGTAGATTCTGCGAAGCACGACTCTTGTTAGGGTTCGTGTTAGCACCGTCGTCAGGTTTGAGCCCCGTGAGCTCACCTACTAGTTACGTTTACGCTGGAATAGCCTCTCTAGGCTACCAGCTTAGGTAGGAAAAAAAAAAGACAATCCAAACGGCTGTCTTTTGCAAGGAGTTAAATGAAAGCAACTAGTAGTTGGGAGACCCGCCCAGAGTTGGGACCCGCCCCACGATAGGTCAGACTTATGCCTTATAAAACATAAGTATATCCAGGCCTGAAGTACCACTTCGCTCTGTTGAAGAACTCCAATATTGCTTTTTCCTTCGTATGATTTAGACGGCTTGTACATCGACACTAAGAATACCAATACTTTGTCTTGAATTTTGGTAATGGTAAATGGTAAATTTGGGAAAAAAATTCTTGTGAGGAACTTTATTTGCTCATTATAGAAAAACTAAAGATTTTGATCTCAGAAATGTGATCTCATTGAAATAGTAATAGATAAGACGTAATGCTATAAACATGCTTATTACGTGAGAAGCAAGAGTATGCATTACTCTCGCGCAAGTTTTATTTTTACAGTATTCGTGCAAATTCTAAATTGCGGCGACATGACAAATATTCTTTCAATGAATTTTTAAAGGTCACTAAATTGAAGTCATCTCATTTAGATATTCGCCTTAAAAGTTCTCGATGGATCGCATGACATTGATATGCAGGATGAAAAGCGTGGGGGAGACTGCAGTGCACTTAATGGAACACCCGTGTTAAAAGTCCTGGCATCGGAACAGCAATTGACTTTTTTCAGTTCCTTGGAGATTCTGGAGAATGGTACACACAAAGGATGCCCACTGAACAGCCATGACTTTAATCATGACATCAGCTGCCAACCCAACGTAACGTAGGAGTCTGGTGCTAAGAACCTGCTCTATGATATTGGAAGATAAAGAAGTTATCAAGAGTAGTCTGTAAATATCCTAAAGGTTCTGATCCACACTGCTTGGATCTCTACCTATGTCTACCCACATGAGTAGTAAATTTTTTTTATTGCCATTGTGGGCAGTTGAGTTTACGAACCACTTGGTGGTGAGTTGTTGATAGTCTGGCACTCAGGTGCACCATCAAACAGCTGCTACCTAAAGAAGTAATTATCTCTTAGGCTACTACTAAGAGAAAATATTCTACTTCTTAAAATACAACAACACAATTTTGAAATACATATAAGCCTATTATTATAATTAAGCCATAGTAATTACCAGTTAGAAAAAACAACAATCAAAGATATATCAGCTTGCAGTATGAATAATATTATGATGTTAAATGAATTTGTTCACTAGTCATCTTACTCATAAAATTTATTCATTTAAAAGTTTATTTTCCATACAAAAAAGTGAAAATTATTGAAGAGATGCAGAATTAATGGTGGGCAGCACTTTAATCCCATCACGGTTTACAACAGTCACTTGGAAATTGGGGAGACTAACAAACAATCTTTTGTGAACTTCTTGAACACACTTCTTAAGGATGTCATATGCCTCTGTTTCTGTAGCATCTGAAATGAATAATGTTTTTATTTTGAGTTGCCACTTGATTAATACATTATTAAATTTATAAAATATTTTTACAGATGTTGAAATATAAACAAATATTATTAACTACTAACCTTTTTTATGGTAACGATCCATAATACTCAAACTTAGATATCCACCATAACCATGAGCTGCAAATGGTACCTTCACGCTTGATGCTAAATAGTCCATAAAATACAGTTCAGGTCCATTTTCTTTATCATAACCACCCATGAGCACATTTACAAAGTAGGGAGTCTGTAATTTTTTAGAATAAATATTGAAACTTCTCAACAGTACAAAAATTTTCAACTAATAGTTAATTCTATAGGTACAATAATTGATTAAGAATCAAGATTTTTTGTGGAGAATGTTCATCNGACTAACAAACAATCTTTTGTGAACTTCTTGAACACACTTCTTAAGGATGTCATATGCCTCTGTTTCTGTAGCATCTGAAATGAATAATGTTTTTATTTTGAGTTGCCACTTGATTAATACATTATTAAATTTATAAAATATTTTTACAGATGTTGAAATATAAACAAATATTATTAACTACTAACCTTTTTTATGGTAACGATCCATAATACTCAAACTTAGATATCCACCATAACCATGAGCTGCAAATGGTACCTTCACGCTTGATGCTAAATAGTCCATAAAATACAGTTCAGGTCCATTTTCTTTATCATAACCACCCATGAGCACATTTACAAAGTAGGGAGTCTGTAATTTTTTAGAATAAATATTGAAACTTCTCAACAGTACAAAAATTTTCAACTAATAGTTAATTCTATAGGTACAATAATTGATTAAGAATCAAGATTTTTTGTGGAGAATGTTCATCATCATCATCAACGCACAATCGTCCACTGCTCGACACAGATCTCAATTCACACCACTGAGTCTTCAGCTCTCCGAAAAATAATAACTGTCATGAATCAATCATAATAGAAATAAAAACACAACTTACACTGCTCCTAAGATACTCTGCGAGATTACGACGTGTGAAACTGGCTGCAGCTGAGGGCCCCAATTCATACCCATTACGCATTTTATACAACTGAATATTTTTTGCAATATATTCAGCAAATTGATTTGTGTCTCCTGAGTCACCAATGACACCCATTACTAATCTATCAGATATCTTATAGATCTTTTCTTCATCTGTAAAATAGAACAAAAACTTTGATTATATAGTATAGTTTATTTGAAAAGTATTAGAAGTTAGATTCCATTAGTACAAATAAAATGCCAAAAAGCAACCTAACAAGTTTACTTGAACCGTTTTTAGATCTGTTTTTATTTATAAAACTAATGTTGTAACCTTCTTTTCCATATTCCATTATTTGAAATATACTTCAAACACATTGTCATTTTTGCTACCTATCATTATTATATTTTATGCTATGTCTTGAAAACATTGTTTTAATATATACTTGGTCACTTGGTCGGTAACTCGGTGATGTGGTACGAATATTTTCTTTTACTTGTAAATACTGCATTAACCTTCTTTTGTCTGGCCGAATGTTGGAAAGTATGCAATTCAATTGTCTTCCAAACATCATCTCAGCTGGAGATTTACCAGTGGACGAGTGCGGAGTGTTTCTGTATGTAAACAGAAATTCTAANACCGGTGCTTGAAGTACCTAGAAGCACCGTTAGTGGATCGGGAGGATCCGAGATGACGTGTTTTGGGCGACGTCGACTGCTTTCCATTCTGTCCGCAGGATCGGGAATGTAGTTACCGGCGGCCACGATGAGAGGGTTCTCGTGTCGTGCCGCTTTATCGAAGTGGCGCATCGACGCCGACTGTAGATACTTACTGATGGAGTACTCATAGAGTTATATCTAGAGCCGAGGACGGAAAAACGTGGTCGATTGAAGTAAAAGGGAAACAGGTGACGGTCAGTGTCGACAGAGTTAAACCAGCTTTCGTCGAACATTCTTTAGTAGATCTCGTTCCGGCACCAGCACCGCGGGTTTCTGTGCCTCAACCAGCGCAACCGGACGCTACTGATGTCCCTTCATGTCCACTCGTGCCTTCGGCACCTCTAACTGCTCCTCCTACGCATACACCTCAATATACCACCCGGTCAGGTCGCAGAGTCCATTTCTCTAAGCCTTTCGACCTATGATCATTTTTCTCTTTTTCTGCGGATTCTCCTTCTCCGTAGGGGGGTGGTGTGGCGTTCAAGAACGCACCTTTTTTTGATGCGTAAGCCGGAACGCAAGAGATGTGGGAAAAAGAATATAGTCTGTGACACGAGACCTTTTTACCGCCAAATATTTAAAACCTTAAAAAATAATTTTATAATGTGTTAAATAACTAATATAATGCTAACTCTCAGACACAGCCCACTGAGTTTCTCGCCGGATCTTCTCAGTAAGTCGCGTTTCCGATCCGGTGGTAGATTCTGCGAAGCACGGCTCTTGCTAGGGTTCGTGTTAGCAACATCGTCAGGTTTGAGCCCCGTGAGCTCACCTACTAAAGTTAGGGTTACGCTGACATAGCCGCTAGGGCTATCAGCTTAGGTAGGAAACAAAAAAAAAATATAATGTAATTATGTACTTAGAATTATTTATGCCGCTACAACAATAAAATTTATATTGTTCCAACTGTGGTGTTAATTACATAAAACACGACTTTACGATACGAAATAAAGAAGGGACTCCATATGAGCTCCCTCAAAGGGACTCTATACGAACTCCCTCAACCATTTTATTAAAATTATATTTCATCCCATATCATTTCATCTCATTTCATTTGATTTCATACCAGTTGATTAATGTCTCAAATTAATAATCTTCATTTCATTTCATCATTTTTCATATAAATAAGAAAATAAATTAAAATTAAACATGACTTAAAGGTCTTAGTTACCAGGTCATAAAATCCCTTAAAAAAAATCTTATTAATCTGTGAAAGAGATATTCTCATGACGTAGGCATTAAGACATTTAAGACAAATAACCAAGGCCAAATAGTAAAAAAATCACTTTTTACGATTTCACGAAGAAAAATTATCTTACAAATGTATTAAAATAATTTTAAGACTTGTCTGATTTCGGGTAATCTAATATTGTAGCACGTCCAAGATTGTACAAACATAAAATTCATTCAGAAGGCTCATTTACAACGAATTAAACGACGAGCTATTGAATCTTGGGTAATATATTTTTTCTTTTATTTTGAATTCTTCTAATATATTTCTTAAAATTCAGACTTTTCATTATTTTTGTAGTTTTTCTGTATCTAAACTGTTTTAATTTTCAGAGACCGAGCGATAAAAATTATCTAATAAAAATGGTGAAAGTTTATGCACTACTTATATTGTACAAAGGGATTAATAATGCATCCATTCTGAAAGGTGCTTATGATCTTCGGAGTTTTAGTTATTTTCAAAGAAGTTCAGTGCAAGAATTTATGACTTTTGTTAGTAAAACTATGGTAGAGAGGACACATCCAGCATCAAGGCAGTCAGTTAAGGAAGGAGAGTATATGTTGCAAGTGTATGTGCGTGCAGATAATTTGGCTGGAGTATTGATATCCGATCACGAGTATCCTAACAGAGTGGCACACACTTTGATCACTAAAACTCTTGATGAGTTTACAGCTGCAGTTCCATCAAGCACTTGGGCTACGGGTAAAGAATCAACAATTGATTTTCCATCATTGGCTTTACATTTAGAAAAATACCAGAATCCCAAAGAAGCTGATGCATTGACGAAAATTCAAAATGATCTGGATGAAACGAAAATTATTTTACATGATACAATAAAAGCTGTACTTGAGAGAGGTGAGAAATTAGATGATTTGGTTGCTAAGTCAGACAGCCTGTCGATGCACAGTAAAGCATTTTATAAGACTGCGGCAAAAACTAACAGTTGTTGTAATTTTTGAACAGTATCTTATTATGATTAACTGTTAACAAAAATGGCCATAACTATTGTAGTATTGTTGATAGTTGCTGAATGCTATGTACTATTTCAAAAAATTATATGAGGTTTGATATAGCTTTTAGGGATTATAAAATATAATTGTATCTCTGATTAATCTGTAACCTGTCACTAAGAGAGTGGCAACTAGCTACAAATACTAAAACAAATTTAGCAAAGGCTTGAAGAATTATCCTGACCCATCGAATTAAAAGTTCAAACAAATATTGAATCATCATCTTTTCCTTAAGGAATTTCCTTTTATGTTTGTCTGGAAGTTTGTTTCCTAAAATTTAAAAATTTTAGAGGGATAATTTATTTTATTACCTCTTGAGATTACGTTTGTGTCGTAAATTATGATTGTAACTCTAAATCATACTATTATGGCTAAGAGCCATAAAAAAAAATCAGTAAAAGACTTGGGTTTGTTAGAATTGGAGAGCAACATAATTATTAACATTACAACATTATTATTTATATTATTGAGTAATTTAAGAGCAGTGAGTTTAATGTTTAAACTACAAATGGGTCATCATGTCATACTAATTAAAATTGATTATTCCAAAGTAGTATAGTATATCCTGAAAATAACTCTAAGGTACCAAGTGTACATATGTTGTAACTTGTTATTCTGTTGCAGATTACTGTAGTATACTTGAATTCTTAATAAATTTTTGGTCTTAATTGCAATTGTTAAACAAGTCCAGATGCAGACATTTTGAATTATTTTCATCATCACAATGAATGTCGACTTACAGTATTGGTCTAAGGTCTAATAAATGGGTTAAGGATCGTAATGGGTTAAGATGTACAAAAAACCATGCACAAAACATTTGCAATAACAGTTTAGAAAAGAAAGATTGTGAAAGTGACTTATTTCATGGTTTTTACTAAAATTTAAATGTGAGCTTTATTTAAGTGATAAATGGTTAAATAGGAATAGAAGTTTAACAATTCAGAGAAAAATGTTATAATTATGAATTATGAAGTCTTCTTATTGCATTCCTCAAAAATGATGTTGTTAAAAAATAAACATATCTATGTATGAAAAAATTATTAATGGTAATAATGTATAGGCCAGTTATTAAAGAAAAATTTGATCAAATGATGCAGTTTATCAAATTCGATTATATTATACAAGTTGAAGTAGTTTGCAAAATTGATCTGAACTGTTGGCATGATGTAACAATATTCCGATAATAGCTAGCCATTAGGAGAAAATTGCCATTCAAGAGTTGAATTCGTGACATTAATTTAAACAGGCAAGAATGATCTGTTCTGCTCTTAATTAAGAAATTCATTATCAGCAGGCTTGTTTATATGCATATTATTTATTATGTGCAAATATAAAGACATTGCATTGATAATGTTTAATATTTTGAAAATATTCAGTTCTTCAATTGCGTCACAACTGTTAAACAACTTTGATCTAGTGAGTCTGGGGCACTATTCATTCAGTCACAATCTAAGTTCATTCATAGCCCATGCAGTGGTGTCGGTCATAATCACATGTTTAAGATTAGACATGATGGATGCATTACATAACAGTGTGTGAAACAAATTCAGTATAATGCAATGGGATAAAATCGTGATGATCATGTCTGCTTTCATTGCCATCTTAGTAGCAATATATAGATATTATCAAAGGCATGTAGCTAGCATTTGCTATTAAAATAATAGTAAACAACAGGAACAAATGTACCTAACTATAGTATCATATTTACTATGTTATAAACAGTTGAATATTATCATTTAGTATTGCCTCAGTTGCCTGAATGGCAACGTTAACACGTGATATTTTTGTGCTCATGTATGACAGTGAATCTTTTATATTGCTTTCTCGTTAACACGTTGAACGCCACATGAAAAATCGAGTATTTTCATTCAGGACATGATGCTCACCGGTGAGCCTTTTACTGGTGATAGCGCGTCTTGTGAGTCTGCACTGGTAGGTACCATCGTCCCACCTATTTCTGCCGTGAGCTCGTCCACCCATCTAAGCAATAAAAAAAAGCCTTATTGTAATGAAACGTTCGGCCATGAGGCTCACCCGTGAGCCACGTAAGGGCTCCAACGTAAACGCTCCCTACATACAAATTGCAGCTATCAAACAAAACGCGTATGAAAGTGAGCCGCGTGGCCCTTTAACCAAACTGAACGCCTTGGTTTTCAAATCCAATAGAAAATTTGTTTTTATCAAGATAATTGCCTTTTAAATTATCTTAAAACCTAGACTAAAATAAGCAAATTTTTTTCTTCCGTGCAAATTATCGCATTTTATATATTTTATAATGCAAACCTCAAGTTGAACTCATCAGTGGGTCGCATGGCGTTCAACGTGTTAAATAAAAAAAGAAGAGAAAAACACAGTTACATATTAATATCAACATTATAAATGTAAACAAGCCTTAGAGATGTTAAAAGTTAAATTAAACCTATGAAATATGTATGTAATTTGAAAATTATGAAATGTAAAGAAACGCTGATGTGAATAGGGAAATTCCCTTTTCTGGTGTTAAGGCTTAACAGTTAAGCAGAAAAAGATCTATATTAATGTACTAATCTAAATCGAACATATTGTATCTTACTTAAATAGTATATTCTATTTATCTGCAATGTAGATTAAAACATACATTATTTCGGGTGATAATTTTATTACATTACCAAATAAATAATTAGAATGTTAAAGAACGATGTGTATGTGTTGAAGAGTTGGATTCCAATTGTATATCCATTATTGTAACTAAATATAGTCGAATGTTTGCTGTTATCTTTATGTTTTTATTCTGTTCATTACCTTCATTCCAAAAAGTGGTGTTCCGTCCGTATTAATTAAGGTAGTGTAATGTTAAAATCTGGAGAGACTCAAAATGACGGGTAAATTGGATGGAAGACGATCCAGAGGTCGGAGCCGAAAAAGATGGAGTGACCAAGTGTCTGAGTATCTGGACATGAGACTGAGCCACGCACTTCACTGTGCCACTGACCGACATACCTAAGTGGCTACAAATTACAAAAAAAGCTCACAGGCGGGCGCATCACGATGCTCGGCAATGAGCAATCCACTGAAGGAGGAGGAGGAATGTTAAAATCATTTATTGTGTTTCTAAGAATATGAATTAAGCAAAGATAGAATACAAAAAGTTTATCTATGCATTGCTTAAACAAATACTTGATGGCGAAAAGTGTCAATCTCATAAAGGTATAAGATCTTTTGTTATCACCTAAAAGGTAAGAGACCCAGCTTTATTTTTATGAATGAAGGATTACTGGTGACTCGGAGGCCTTTCCCTTTTCACCAGAACAGGTGCACGAGCAAAATCTCGGTCAGAAGGCGTGCACAGCTGCCCAAGGTGCGCCTCCAAAGGAGATCTAACAACTCAAGAGCAGTTGCTTCGCGAATGACCCACTGAGAAGATCCAGCGAGAAACTCGGCGGGCTGATGTTTAGGTTAGATTGCACGTCGAGCCCTTTGCCGAGCTCGACGAGCACTGTTACCGGGGGTCCCTAAGCCTGCTTGCTCTTAGCGTAAGAGCTGACGGCGTCTAATGGAAGAGTTATTGCATTTAATGGATCCGTAAGGACGTGTTTAGGGCGTCGACGGAGACTGGCTTCTGCGTGATCAGGATTCGGGGAGTAGTCAGCGGCGGCAATAGGCACAAGGTGGTTATCATGACACATTGCAACACGATTTCAAACACGGCGTGTCGTGGCCGAAATGATAAAAAGATCCAAGGTGTAATTCGATTAAACGATACGACTATGGCAATGTCCGAAGTACGTACACAGCAGTTTTTTTTTAATGCAACGCTGACCCTACGCTGGTTTATGAAACACTTCCGTGACGGGATAACGTGTAAACATGTAAAATAGAAATCGATACGAATTGTATAATTACTGAGACGTGATGGGCCCGCGCTGGTAGATTAACTTAATTTTGATTGTTTTTATTTTAAAAATTTTTAATTTGTTTATGTAGCAAGTCAAACAGTTTTTACTGGTGGTAGGACCTCTTGTGAGTCCGCGCGGGTGGGTACCACCACCCTGCCTATTTCTGCCGTGAAGCAGTAATGCGTTTCGGTTTGAAGGGTGGGGTAGCCGTTGTTTACTGGTGGTAGGACTTCTTGTGAGTCCGCACGGGTGGGTACCATCATCCTGCCTATTTCTGCCGTGAAGCAGTAATGCGTTTCGGTTTGAAGGGTGGGTCAGCCGTTGCAACAATACTTGAGACCTTAGAATTTATATCTCAAGGTGGGTGGCGTATTTACGTTGTGGATGTCTATGGGCTCCAGTAACCACTTAACACCAGGTGGGCTGTGAGCTCGTCCACCCACCTAAGCAATAAAAAAAAAATGTGTTCAGATTTGATTTCTATTATACCATAGCCATAACATAGCCTTTCTACTACACAAACATTCATTATTCAAAAATGGTGCGGGATTGACGTCTATTTTCGTCAACAGTACGGAATGGCTCAGCGTGCGGAATAAAAATAATACCCAGCACATTTTATTTTTATCACAAATAAAAGAACCAGGTGAAATAAAAATACATATATTAATTACATCAATATTAAATTACAGCCAACATAACTATGTAAGGTTACATTAATAAAAATATACCTATATAATTTTCATTGAAACAAATAAATAATAAAACAAGGTATTTTATTTCTTACAAGTAATACCTAAATCTAAAAATCATTGACTATAAGGATTCGCGATTGTGGAGTAAGGTAACATTTTTAAAACAATCCACCTACAAGCAAGGGAGCTCACTTATAGTTTACATAGAGTTTATATTATGGAATTTACTCATTAATTCTATAATTAATTAATTAATAGTACTTAATGAGCATGGATATTGAAATAATCGACACACAACATTTTGAATATTTTTTTTCGCGCGAAGATTTCTTTTTCCACTAAATGCATTTAGGGCTTTGGTGTGATATAACAGAGTACCATAATGATGGTTAATATTTATTTTTCAAATTTGGATCTTAATAATATGTGTGTATGAATTTATCTGAAAGAACTACAAGGAATAATTTTTAATTGACCGAGTGCATTTATAAATTGTTTTATTTGCTATGCACTATACATAAATGCTTTTATTTTGGTCTCGTGCCAGACAAATACGAGTTTTTAGACAGTTCTAGTTACATATTGTACCGATTTTTCCATTATCCATGTAACCTAAATAGAAAGAGTTGGTATTACGATATTATTACCATTTTGCAGCTAAATTTTTGGCATCAAGCAATAAGAGGAAAAAAGGAAAAGACTAACGTAATAGCTTTGGAATAGACAACCAGTAAGGTTGTGTTACTGAATTTGTCGCTATCAAGTTGAACCAAAAACGATAACAAGTTCCACGAATAACTTGGACAGTCTACATAATATTTTTGTTGTTGACAATGTTCATATTAATTACTAAATATATCAATCTGTTTATGTTGATTCTTATAATGTTGGAAGAATTATTGTTATGTCTGGAGCGACGTTTAAACAAATTAGTTATTTTTAAAATTAGCATTTGCGTTTCAAATACGTTTTTATGACATAAGATCTACACATAGGATTCATTTTTACAGTTTGTACGAGGTAATTACAGTTACTACTTGAATATATCGATTCACTTCATTCACTTCTATTATTAATAGTATTGAGTGCCACACAGATTCAGAAAAAATCACTTCTCTAACGGTTCAAACAGATAATGAATCAGCAAAAACATTACATTAATACATTAATAGCTGTAATTGTGCAGATCTCTATATAATATTGATATAAAAATGTTAATTAATCAAACAAATGAAACTTAATGTTTTTTACAAATAAAATTCATGAACAAACCTATTGGAAAGGAAATATTGAAAGGATTACAAATGAGAACGATAGAGGTTCCAAATAAAGTATTAAAGATTATTTACAACGAAATTTAACATTTTTACCCAGTCGTAGCCAACGTAGAGATACATTGTAGGAAATAGTGAAGAGGTTAGATAACTGCAAATATATAAATGCCCTTTTAAAATATTCCACAAGGAAAATATAACGTCAATATAGATTCTCCATTTATTTCACACTACTTAAAATTATATTCTAATGATAAGAGATTTCACTATTCAAGTCTTACAATATATCTCTTTATTTAACACTCAAGTGTTTGTTATACATCTATGTTCTAGTATTACTTTTAAAATATGTTACATGTTCCCACTTGTTTTTTTTTTTATTTGTAAAATGGTGGATGACATGTCTGACTCTATTAGAAAACTTTAACAGAGTTCTGTTTCCGGTTCAAGTAAAATATTATGAAAAATCAGGAAATAATTTTTTTGATACAATTTTGAAAAATCAGTCTTTCTGAAATTAATTGTTGACAGATAGTTATTGAAAACGAAAAATGAACTGCCCGTAGGACAAAAGGCCGAAATGCATTAATGAAATCAATTCCTTTGAAGGCAGGGAGGGGTGAAGTTTCATTTTCTGGTCAGTGGTATACCGAATTATATTTAGATGATAAAGTCACACATTAAACACGTCTGTTTAGGATGCGGTAGTAAAATACAGAAACTCTAGCTTGCAGGCGGNGGTTATTGGCTAGTTTAGGAAGGTTGCGGCGTGCACCCATAATATGTATAAGAGGCTTATGGTCCGTAACTAGATTAAATTTCGTTCCTCTCAAGTACTGATCAAATTTTTTTATACCAAATACTATTGCTAAAGCTTCCCGATCAATAACGGAATATTTCATTTCCGCTGGTCGTAGTTTCCTTGAAGCAAAAGCAATTGGCATGAAAGGGCGCATTCTTCTATGCTGCCGACGACTGCTTCTCCAGACATTGGAATGGAAACATCAATTAGCGAAAGGCTAACTAACAATAAGAATTCGGCAGCAGTACCATTACCTACACCGCAGTCGCCTATTGAAAACATTGTTTTATTATAACTAATTTGATCTGAAAATACAGAGGATTCTGCTACAAATTTGCAAACTCACCGTCTTTCATGATCATAATGCTGTGGCTGTTGCTCTGATCGGCTGCTATCATAACAAAGTCGTTGCACTGTATTCCTAAGAGACATTGTAAGTTTATATTTGACATTTTGCAGTCGTATTACTTAATTAGCTTTCACTGCAAATAGTCTTTTCAAGATAGAGATACTTCAATCAATTGAACTGAATTATTTACTTAATTAACTTAGCTATTCTGCCTGTGCGGCCTTAAATTTCATAAATTGTCAAATCACTTTCAGTGTTGTCAGTGTTGAGAGTGTTGCGTGCATACCTTGGTATTGGTAGTTTTTTTTTTTTTTTTCCTACCTATGCTGAGAGCCTTGATAGGCTATTTCAGCGTAACCCTAACTTTAGTAGGTGAGCTCACGGGGCTCAAACCTGATGACGTTGCTAACACGAACCCTAGCAAGAGCCGTGCTTCGCAGAATCTACCACCGGATCGGAAACGCGACCCACTGAGAAGATCCGGCGAGAAACTCAGTGGGCTGTGTCTGAGAGTTAATTTACTCGTCGAGCCCTTCGTCNGTTGACAGATAGTTATTGAAAACGAAAAATGAACTGCCCGTAGGACAAAAGGCCGAAATGCATTAATGAAATCAATTCCTTTGAAGGCAGGGAGGGGTGAAGTTTCATTTTCTGGTCAGTGGTATACCGAATTATATTTAGATGATAAAGTCACACATTAAACACGTCTGTTTAGGATGCGGTAGTAAAATACAGAAACTCTAGCTTGCAGGCGGGGTTCTTTGTACAGGACAAATTGATTGTATCCATTTAGGCTTGTGATGTCAAAGTGACGACAGCAAAAATGTGATCTTGAATTCTTTACAAGAATCATGGGCACGTTTTTGTTTAAAATGCTTCAAAACAAATATATTTACAACTACTGCGTACTACACAGTTTAGTCGCGCAGTGCGACACACAATTAGGATATCATTTGATTTAAATAACATGGTTTTGATCATCGCATAATCGCTGTCACGTAACTGTCATCTTAACTAATTAAAGAATAATTTAATATAGACTCTACTTTGACAACAATGTAACAATTATTAAAAATTAATTATAAATGCTTTATCTATTTCATGTAGCCAAATAGAACGGTGAAAGGAATATTGTATCAGCCACAAACATTATTTAATTAAAACTTAGCACGCTTTCACAGTCTCTACATGTAAGCACAATAAACTCGCTCATATCACTTCGAAGCAAAAGGAAAATATATCGCTATACATAATTATCCCAACGCGATCTCTTAAATCTACTTACACATTACAAAAGGCATCTCTTGATACAATACAAAATTAATACAGCAAATCACTGTCATAATGAAAAACAAAAATTCTAACACGATTCACGACACAAGCAACACAATCGACGTATCGGCGAATACTAACACATCGATTTATCTACTTCACATTAAAAATAGCAATAGTTCACGCTACCGTTTGCACCAGGGGAAAGTAGAATTTGTACTAATCAAGGGCTTCAAGGGCACTACTACGATTCAAGAAAAATCACGTCCTCATTTACTTTTTTAACGTGCACGAGTTCTTTTTTAAACCGAGTACCGAAACGTACCGTCGACAAAACAACTTCGTAACTTTGGTGTTTATCTCCTTTTGAAACAGACGATAGTTTATTACATTGAGATCGACGCGAGACGGATCTCCAGAACGAGGGCCTAACGTTTCTTTGATGCAGCTCACTTGTTGGAGACGTGTATCCTCTTGGATCTGAAGTCGTATATCTTGCGGCAGAATAGGACGAGCTCCGGCGAAACGGCGGGCGGGAGTTTGGCGTCGTTGGGCACGCACGCGGCGACGGCTTCGCTCGATGGTATCGGCGGAACGATCGACGGCCTAGCGGGGACACCCGCCTCTATTGCCTTTAGCCGCTTCCTGTATCTGTTCCGGGAACAATTAGAAATTACTAAAACTACATACTTTTGTGTTTTTTTTTAATTCAGAGTATACATACGAAAACTGTAAACTATATTCGTAATGTCATAAATTGTGAATTAAGAAATAAAATTTTTTATATAACTTATGTATATGACAATATTTTCGGCTATTAATCATAAGATATGGTCTGATTAGACTTAATTTTTTTTCCTGCCTAAGCTGATGGTCTTGAGATACTAACCCTAGCAAGACCAATGCTTCGCAGAATCTACTCATCATCATCATCATAGTCGGTTGCTCTTGGCATAGCAGTCGTGGTCATGTGGAATTCCAGCCTTGACAGATGTTTTCCATAGTTTTCGAACCGAGGCCTGGCGCACGCACTCGTTAGGAGTAAGGGTAGAACGGAACTAAGATTAAATCCGACCCAAAGTCAACCCCACCTGCACGCACAGACAGTTTATATGCTTAAACTGTCTGTGGCGGTGTAATCACCGCGGTGCTCCTAACAGCTAGATAGCGGACGGAGCTCTGGCGACCGAGCAATGGCGGTATAACCATACTCCCAACTGAGATCAATCTGACCTCGGTTGGATGAGGCTACAACGGCCTTGGTGGCTTAAATCCCTCCTTAAAAGGTTGGTGCAGAAGGCCAGGGAAACCACTGCGCTATATTCACAAGAAAGTCATGAATAGGCAGAATCGACTACCGGATCGGAAATGTGACCCACTGAGAAGATCCGGCGAGAAACTCAGTGGGCTGTGTCTGTGGGTTAATTTACTCGCCGAGCGCTTCGTTCGCGCGACGGGTTCGATGAGAACGGTGACCGGACTCGACTTCGATCATCATTAGTTATTACTTGTTCTATTATTTACGCGTCATCCGTCCGTATAGATTACTTCTGTCATTTTCTTACGTCGTCGTTTTGATGGCCTAACCTTTTGGCCTTTGGGCAACGGAACGTCCAAAATCACACCGGGCATTTAATTTTTAGAGTCCCAGTGTTTGAGATGCCTATATACATACATTCAAATATATAATTATTTATGTATGTTTATCTAACAATTTCTGGCTTCAATGATACAGGGAGTCTTACTTTGGGGTTAGATGTGCGTTTGCGACTTGTCCCGAATTTATGTACACACGTAAGAAGTATAACTTCTTACAAAGTGTTTTTAGGAAGTATAACTTCTTACGTTCGTACGTAAATACAGGTAGGGTTTTTTGAAATAAATATATAACTATGGTGGTATCACGATACTAACCGGGAATACTCTTTAAAGTTGAGCACGTAGCACTTGTCTTCGATGCAAGCGACGGAGTTGGCGTCTCGGTGCTTCGAAGCGAACACTTCGTCCGGTGCGTCTTCCGGCTGCCGACCGAGCTTCGTGTGTTCCGGACGATAGTACCATACAAGGGACACCATCATCTCACCTAAACAAGTACAATTTTGAATGTTATAATTTGTCGAAACGGTCGTAGCTGGATAGGTTAGTTCATACTCAATCTATTTATGTGGTTACGGGAGCCTTTAAAACATACCATTGCCAAGTGGAGACAAAAATAATCCCGCTAAAAATGTTGCGAAGCCACGGGTACAGCCGGTACGAATGAACATTCGAAATATCGGAAAGTGTGAGATTGAATAAAAAGCAATTTTAAAATAGTCCCATTAGTTGATTATCTTCTCATTCTCATTACACAATTCCAGTGGGTCCTGAATTATAGTTGACCATATTGAAATGCAGGTGTGTACATACATATCGCGTGTTTTATTCCCGATTTTTGTTATTAGAATAATTTGAAGCTTCTTCTATGCAATATTCAAGGAAGTTTTACATCTAACATCACGGATAGATTAATGGCAGAATTATGAATAAACTTATGAGTCAGAGGCGGGTACACAAAGCGAACTTATTGATGAGCTAATTAAATTGTAAATAGTTATTAACCGTCATCGGGATTTTCCCAGAGGCTGGCAACCCTGGCGACGAACGGCTGAGCTCTAGCGACGGAGGCCCGTAGCAGCACACAGTCTCCGCGCGCCACGCTGTCCCCGCTCTCGTGGGTCATGCGCGACCAGCACCGCGCCGTGCGGACTAGTCGCGAGTCGTTCTAAACCAAGTTACGTTTCGATTAATTCGAATCATTTTTTTATTTTTTAAATCAGATAATCTATCTAAATTCTTCAAAATGGATATAAACCCGACTGTGAATAGATACAGTTTATCATATTTATTTTTAGTCATCAAAAACTATAAGTTTCGTTTAAACGACCAATTTGGTTGTGGAATTAGCAATTATAATTTTGGGTAGGCTTTTATTTAACTCTATCTATTAAATTACATGTTTTGTATTATGTTTTAGTTAAATAGTAGTAACTTACGCTTACGTAGACTCTGGATATATAGTTTTCTCCGTCCCAATTCCAACCATTACTCCACCGTGGTGGCGCTCTGGGTCCGAAATCTAGTAATGTGAGGGGTGATCGTGGCCGTCTTCCTCGTCTTGAGCTTCCACAACCTCTTCTTCGGGCCTTTCCCCTAAATCCCACGCTGGGTGTTGGTGATGCACAAGCCTCTTCAATCACTAATGTGGCTTCATCGGTTTTTATCGCCGGTCTCTTCGATATTAGCAATTTAGCCACATTTTTCCCTTTAATCTTGTTTTTAGTTAATTTGCATCGTTTCAACGCTGATCTATCCCGGCGTATTGATTCTGAACCTTTGCTCCCCTCTGAGTGTTCTGAATTTTCATCTATATTTTGAGATTCATCGATATTCACCTCATTTGAAATATTTGCTTCAAAATCAGTTGGTGCCTTTGATATAGGTATTTCTGAAACTGTGATTGCAGTTTCACTGTCACAAGTAGCCATAGTTTTAATGGGTTCCGTTTCTTGACTAATTATTTCATCTTTTTCGATAATTTTCTCGCATTTGGAAGCATCTTTTTCTAGATAAATCGTTGGTTTTTCCTCAATAATTTCAGGCTTAACTTGCTTTTTAATTTCTGATTTTATCACTGATGATTCTAATACTGATTTTATGCTGTGAGTCACTCTGGAATCCACTGTCTCTAGTTTACAAGCATTTTTGAAAGCAAGTTTCTTTTCAATTAGTTGGGTTACAGCTGCGATTGTGTTGGGCCGTACTCCATTGACAGTATTTTCTAGGAGGTTATTGTTGATATTAGTTTTCTTGATATCGTTTTCTTTCTTATTTTGACTTATGTTTTCATTTGGGGATAAAAATAGTTCTGCAGGATCCAATTCTCCATCTGAAGTATATTTTTTGGCATCTAGCCTCTCGATGCTGTTTTTTCTAATCAGATTGTCAAGTATCTGAGCACTTTTTGTTTTCGGCTTAGTTACTTGAGTATCTTCAATGGTTGTAATACTTTTGGACCTTAAATCCTCATCTAAGTTTGTTTCTACAAGCATTTTTTTACTACTCAAGCCACTTGTTGACTTTACCCTCTTTCGTTTCAGGCTTTTCTTATCAGTGATAGGGGTTTTAGGGAGTTTCTTTGTGGTTTTCTTTTTTGGTTCTTTTGTTACAGTTTCTATCCTGCCTATATCAGTATGATCACCAGACACTTTCCTTCGTTTTTGTAATTTGACGTGTTCTCCAATTCCATTTGTTTTACATACGTCTTCAAGTTGAGAGTCTTTCATATCTATTTCAAGCTTTGGTCTAGAATACCTGCGTTTCACTGCCTTTGCTCCATCAGAAACTGTTGTGGAGTCCGTGATCAGGATACAGTTGTTGTGTTCTTTTAAGGCTTGTGCCTCAGGTTTGCGAGCTGATGCATATGTAGGCCCTTCATTTTCTTTTTTAACATCGACCAATGGTGTTGTTCTTTCATCTGAAGATGATAAATCTATTGGGCCACAAACTGGTGGGGAAATCTCCATTACGTCGTCGTCAGCATCGCTGGGTGTAGGCGTCGTAGTATTCTGCTGTTGTCGCGGTACTGATAGAAGTAGACCGGTATCATCTCCAGCTAGTGATCTCCTAGCCATGTCTTTGCCGAGTCGAGCTCGTCGAGGTGCAATCGGTGGAGGTTGCGGTGCGCATACACCAGCCGAACCTCGAGCTGGCGATGGAGGGCCGAGAGCTTCAGGGGGACCAGCGATTCTTAATTTATCACGAACATCGAGAAATTCTCGTTTCGGTGAGGCACCACCTATGGCCGGCAGTGGACATTGATGTGGAGCATCAGCTGCAGCTGGAGGTTCTGGTTCTAGTGGTGGATCCTGCACAGAAATAGATTGAGCGAGTAATTACGAATAGGATCACTTATATTTAACAAAAAAAAAGTATTTGGTCAATAATGGTTTACCTTTCCACTGCCGTGAGTGTCAGAGGCAGTATCAAGCGCGCACGCCCGCACCTTCGGTCGGAAGGCGCCCCCGGGCTGCACGAGGGCTGAGGGTAAGTCTGCTGGGCCGCTACCGGTTGGGGCTTTACCAGTAACGGGCCCAATAAGGACGTTTTTTGGACACGCGTTCAGTGGGCACGGGCATCTGTATTCTAAAAAATAAAATCTTCCTTATATTTTGTTATTTCTTAATTAAATATTTTTGAAGATAACAATATTCGAAACTTACCAACATATGGTATCCTTTGCGGTGAATGTTGATAGCATGGTGGCGTGCCATAATACTGTGACGGGGGATATGGCTCGCTGCCGACGCCTACCATCTGGAAACGTAATACAATTCTTAACAAGATCTTTGTGCCGCTTAACAAGAAACAATCGACAAACCATAGCGTAATAAAAGCTGCGGGACTTTCCAGACACATCTATTGTATTGGGTTTATATTTCATTTCAGGGAAATTGACGAACTATTAGTGCTCATATGTATATGTACAAATAGACATTTCATTGTTACACAATCTAATCTGTTACCTGTGAAAGTAATGCTTAATATGAATGAATGAAAAATGAAAATTTAAAATATTATTTACCTGTGCGTCTGGTTGTGGCGGCGGCATGTGATAAGGTGCGGGTGGTCGGTAATACCGTCCATAGCATAGATCCGGGTAGTAAGGAGGACCATACTGCTGCAGCATCTACATTGATTACGTCATTAGTTTAATTGAATTGTTTTTTTTTGTTTCAAATCATTATAGCGCTAAGAAAGTTTTGGCATTTCAAGAAATAAACGTTTCACATTCAATTGTAACAATCTAGGATTTTCTCTAGGAAACGAAATCTAGACTCCAAATGCCTAATGTTTTTACAAAGTTAATGATCCTGATCAATTAATCCCTGAACTCATGTGTCCCAGATATAGTAGTAATTATGTAGTTCGTTTTATTAGTTTTTAAATTTGCTGCATGTGCTCGAGTTGCCCGTTCGGGTAAAATAAACGAATAAAAAAAAACGACAGGTTAATAGTATTAGACCGTGTATCGGTTTCATTTAATGGTCGATTTGGATTACTTTTGTGGGCCGCGGCTTCGATTCACGGTCAGTGTCAGTATCTCTAAAACTAAGACATTTTTTATTCAACTTCACGGTTATAGCCATAGCATAAGAGATCATCCTAATCTGGGGTTTTTGAATTTTGAATAGTTTAGCTGTAGCTTTAGCCCTCTGAGTTTCTCGCCGGATCTTCTCAGAGGGTCGCGTTTCCGATCCGGTGGTAGATTCTGCGAAGCACTGCTCTTTCTAGGGCCAGTATTAGCAACTTTCCGGTTTGAGCCCCGTGAGCTCATCTACACGTTAGAGTGAATCCGAAATAGCCTCTCAAGGCTATCAGCATAGGTAGAAGAAAAAAAAAGTTGCTTTAATTTTGGACCTTCGGGTGTGCGTAAAAAGATCCAAAATAATTTCCCATTATCAAAACGTTATGTATTTAATGAATGATGCAAGTATCTATCGTCTTTAATTAAGTCAGAATGTGTCTGCAAAGCAAGCCCTCATTCTGGTTTAGCTATTCGATTTTCACAATCGATATGGAGATTAAACCTTTTAGATTAGTTGAGTTAAACATTATAATTACCGATGGATGCGGCGCGTGATAATGTGGTGGTGGGTGGTATCTTGCGAGTGCCCGCTCTGCGTCTGCACTCGTCTCCTTGATAAGGGGACCGGCCGGCTGGTAGTATCCTGTAACAATAAACAAGGAAACAATTAAAACAAATGAAAAAGCGATCAAGATGTTAGGTCTCTCATATTATTAAAACGTTGATTGCGGGACCATTTTTTAAACTTAGACAGTGCGTATGAGGTCTTTTCGAGATAAAATTGGACTTCTTTACAGTGCGCATGAGACCTGATTAGCCTTTTTTTTATTGCTTAGATGGGTGGAAGAGTTCACAGCTCACCCGATGTTAAGTGGTTATTGGAGCCCATAGACATCTATGACGTAAATGCGCCACCCACCATGAGATATAAGTTCTAAGGTCTCAAATATAGTTACAACGACTGCTCCACCCTTCAAACCGAAACGCATTACTGCTTCACGGCAGAAATAGGCAGGGTGGTGGTATCTACCCGTGCGGACTCACAAGAGGTCCTACGACAAGATCCCAAAAGACCGTTTTTTAATATGGCCCATGCCCATAGAAATCTGGGCTTAGTCGCTTCCCGTATCGAGCGAAAGAACACGGGTATTGTCGGTCGCATTACACGACAGTCGCATTTTAAATCGCAAAACGCAATTAACGTGTTAATAACAAGCAAATTAAATGAGATTTATTTTGGTATCCATTTATCCAATGTGCCCTTACTATTTCGCCAATTGCGTATAAATATAATTTAGTAATTTTATTCACACATTCACCCTTCACTATTAACAAGTCGGCTCTCCCCTTCTTTTTATTAAAATTCAAAATTATTACGTATATCACTCTTTACGCCTGAATGAGCTTTTTGTAAGCCACTTATTTTCATTAGAATTATATAGCTATGGATGTGGTCGCCCATGGTTTTCCTACTGTCGATTGAATTTTACTTTTAGATCAACCGACACAAAATAAAACACGGCTTTTTGGCCATCTCGATCAGTGACCACATCCGATTGTTTCTGTCGAATTACATTTAAGTATGAACAGTGCTTGAATTTGGTCGGCGTTGTCGATTACAAACAAGTTTGTTAGTAGATCATTTTAAATTTCTAGTTTATCTGTATTAGAAACAAAATTAGTGTTGCGAGTTTTGAACATGAAATTGAAATCTATTCAGTTTGTGGGTTCTGCTTATTTCTGCCGCGGTCCAGTTTGAATCAACTTAGTCATCTATTAAAAATGAGCCTACGGTTTTCAAGGTGAGTTGCAATGTCTTAGTTATGTCGTCACAGGGCTACCGTCCAACCGACAAGTGTAATGCAAATATTTCAAAATGTAATGGGGTTTATTTCATAATATAATCGGTTAACTGTTGAATGTAAATATAATTAAACNTTCTGCTTATTTCTGCCGCGGTCCAGTTTGAATCAACTTAGTCATCTATTAAAAATGAGCCTACGGTTTTCAAGGTGAGTTGCAATGTCTTAGTTATGTCGTCACAGGGCTACCGTCCAACCGACAAGTGTAATGCAAATATTTCAAAATGTAATGGGGTTTATTTCATAATATAATCGGTTAACTGTTGAATGTAAATATAATTAAACTAAATAATTTCAAAAATCAAGAATCTCATATACGTTACGGAATAATAAAAATAAAATTGAACCTCATTGTTATTCGCTAACGCGATAAACGAACGCAAAGTGAGCAATGAGACATAAATAAAATCTTCGCCGCTTAGTTCGGTCGTGTACCGCGGGGCGCTAGTGAGGCGTTGCGCGCGTAAACATCCGAGAGGCGGTCCTAACTTGTAGTCGGATTATCTAGGCTGTCACTTAACGATGCCATTAAGTATTGCTTTATTAGTTACGTTGTTATTTTTTTGCGGTCGCAAGAATTTATATGACATTTAAAAGTCGTGTATGTACCAACTTATTAAATAAAATTAAAGTAGATTCATTGTAAACAGAATATTTTGAAAAAATTGCATCTTTGTTTTTTGGTACTTATTTTTTTTACCATACAGATACTTCACCGATACGTCGTTGTCAAACCAATAGATTGTATGTGTACCTTTCACAGATTAACAATTTGACAATTACGATTAGTTCACTAATCAGATTAGCGAGCGGTTTTTATTCGATATTTCAGTTTTCAGATATAATAATACTAAGTAGGTGTACTTATCAGATTACGCTTTTCTTTTGTTTAGTTTTGGGACATTAAATAATAATGATTTCTGAAAATAGCCTTTTTAAAATTGATATTAGTTATTTCGATATGACAAAAATATTTATTATATAACATATTATTAGTGCGATATTTAAAAAAAACGTCAATTATCGTACAATGATAAGCTTAAGATCTCGAAATGAAGTCCAAGATTAAATACTGGATTAAATCAAACTCATTTACTGGCATGTATTAGCACTGTTTAAAATAGACTTAAATGATTAATACCATTAACGGAATTATCTAGAATCTTCATAAAAATAATACAAGGCAATAAAACGTCGGGCCCTTCATTAATTCATTCCGATCACAATCACGCCTGTAATAAGGCAGATATAAAAACAAACATGCGATATTAAAGAGCGGGATGGACTTATACGCATTCCAAGAAGAAGAAAGAGGAGAGCAATATCCACAGGATATAGGGCAGGTGTCTCCGTAAAGGGAAAAAGGTTTTTGCGGAGCACAAAATAAGAATTATAGAAGATTAAGTTATGGATATGTGAGAAACATGCGTTTGAAATGGAGATAAACATTTTAAACTACGGCATCTGATTATATAGGTATTATTGTTTCAAGTTTCTACATGAGAATTATTATTGCATTCTTTAATGATTTTTTATTAACGTAAAAGGTTATACAAGTAAAGTATTTTTGCTGTACATTGAATTACATAAATTAAGGTTTTATTATATGAAAGCGATTTCGATCCGGTGGTAGATTCAGGGAAGCACTGCTCTTGCTAGGGCCAGTGTTAAAAAGTGCTCTCAGGTCCGCCGCGCGTAATTAGAATATATAATTAGGCTGCCAACGATTAGGTAGGAAAATAATAATTATATCTTATCTTCTTAGCATCGTACAGGTGTAACAGCATTATTTGGAAGCATGTTAACAATTATGATATTATTTTTGATAAAAAATATACATAATATTTAAAGATTACTTACTTAAAGATTAGGTACTACCACCCTGCCTATTTCTGCCGTGAAGCAGTAATGCGTTTCGGTTTGAAGGGTGGGGCAACCGTTGTAACTATACTTGAGACCTTAGAACTTATATCTCAAGGTGGGTGGCGCATTTACGTTTTAGATGTCTATGGGCTCCAGTAACCACTTAACACCAGGTGGGCCGTGAGCTTATCCACCCATCTAAGCAATAAAATAAAAAAGATGTCTTTAATAAAATAAGCGAATGATTTAACTAGGTTTTATTTAAATGTTGATTGATTGGCTTTATTAAATAGTTATATTATATTTATGAACTTCTTCCTTCATTAAATACTAATTTGACCAGTATCCCTATATAGTCAAACTCACGGACAGTTCTAGTATTTAATAAAGGAAAAAAGAAGTACAATGCACATGAAGGCAGTAAGTGAAGCGGTTCGCCTTGAGAACGCATCGGCAGTTGTACCATGAGGGGTCTATTTTCAAAGCTGTTCTTTTATTTATTTGTCTACCGTCTCGTTACAGTCGGTGAGGATTGTCATTGAAATATCGTTAATTTCTGTTGCATTATTATGAAGTATTTAATTTTACATTAATGAATGTTGTCTGGGCTTCTTGACGGAAAGCTAGTATTGAAGTTGTGTGAATTGTTTTATTTTGTTAATTTAGTGTTTCTTTAAAGTTCATTGATGTTACTGTAAATGGCGATTATTTTACTGAGAATTTATTTCATTAATCTCATTTCGCTCCATTTATTTAGAGTAATATGTATGTTTTTAATAATTGTAGATTGTAGAATTTAAACTGGCAACATTAGCATCGCAAGAAGCCAATTACCATACTGAAAAAAGATAATAATGTTACCTTTATTCTTAGCGTTTTTTTTTATTCGTGGCATTTATGAATAGATGGTTTTATGGTTGCCTCCTTTATAGATGTAAAAGTCAATTTAAAACGTAAAATAAATGTTTTGACGCGCAAATTAAAATGCGAGTGTTTTTTCAAGCAATTCCATAAATTATTTTTGTCGTTTTTATTTATTTTTACGAGTTTGAAGTCGATGTAATCAGACAGTTTTTCTGCCCGATTCGAAACGAATTAGTTTAAGAATACTTTATGCGTGCCAAGAGGCCAGAGACAATAAAGTAGGTTTTATTACGTTTAGCTCATAAACACGAAAAATATTGTGTCCGTTAGTAAATTGATGTGTAAAGTACGTAGGTGGATAGAGCGCTTCCGTTCGTGTAGCGGTTGTGTGTTGCGAATATATATAAAAAAAACACTTTGAGAACGACGTTTATAAATAGAATTACAGGAATTCGTACGATGATTCTGATTACAAAGAACGTTTACATATGCTATCAAGTGACTTTGATGGCGTCCACATCGGATTCAGTTCGAAGGAATCTGATTTGATTTGATTTGATTTGATTTGATTTGAAAAAATCAAAAAAAAATAATACACGAAATATCTCAATTAGAAAAATTACGTTCGATTACGTCTTATTAAAAACTAGTGGCCCGCTCTAGCTCCGCTCGGGTCTTTTAACAAAAATTTCAACAATATTTGACGTTGTTTTATTTTTAAAATAAAATAACACTTATTGCGGCATAACTACAGTAGTTAGACATATGCTGTCGCGACACTTTTTGTAAATAATAATGTGTTCTACAAAGTCTTAGTACATTATTTTATTGTATCATCATTAGTTTTCGCAGGGCACGCGATGTAAAAAATATGTTAGGTAATTTTTTTATACCTTGGGTTACATTATAAGAGTTTTAGTAAGGATCCCTAATTTTTTTCAAAAAAGATAGCCTATGTTACTCGAGAATAGTGTAGCTTCCAAACAGTGAAAGAATTTTTCAAATTGGTTCTGTAGTTTCAGAGCCTATTCAATACAAACAAATCTTTCCTCTT